TATGGAATCCTACTATAGACCCCTTTAAGGAACCCGTATATTATAGAACTCTACTTTAGACCCCTTTAAGGAACCCTTAGGAACCCTTTAAAGGAACCGGCCCTATTCACCAGGCCAAGCTCCAAGGGAGTTGGGCGGTGGCCGGATGAGCAGCAGGCCATTGCGGCCCGAAACCCTTAACTTAGTTGCTGAAACTCTTAAGGTTCCATATTATCCTTATAGTATACGTAATATACCCCGAAACTCTAATTCTATTTATTAAGGCCTCCCATATCAACCTTAAAAACTAGTTGCTGAGTTCATAAGCCCCCAAGGACTGTCCACTTTCAGGTTTATAGTGGGTAGCATTATCCCAAAAAGTGTAAAGTGTATCCACTCAGCTACTAAGTTAACCCTAAAGCCCTAAACCACCGACAAACGCATGCAAATCCCCTGGAAGCCCTGCATTCTGAAGACCCGATGCTCTGGTGGCGCCTGGGCATCTGCATCATGATCTGGCGCCTTGTAGCAGCCCCCCAACGAAGGGGAAAGTAGAACAGACATGGATAAAAACCTGCGAAATTCATAACTGCCTCCTCTGTTGAAGCCGCGGCTGTGCTCTGTGGCTTTGCTGCAGCCTCAGAGGTTAGCCAGATGACAGACAAACAGTTGCGAACATCACTGACTGTCCGGCTTTTCTGGCTTTTCTGCGGCTTTCCTTCTCGTTCTTCCTGTCTTTTTTGTTGCGCCGCTGGACCTCGGAGCAGGAGCGAGCGATTCCATACAGTAACCCGAAAACCCCCTAACCCCACCGAACCCTTAACGCAGTCGAGTGACTTCTGCTGGGTTGTCCTCTTTCGGGTCCCAGCGGAAACGGGCCACATTCGGATTTCGATCCATGCCCAGCGTGTGCTTGGTAGCTAAGTCGCTATGTTTCCTTATTATGTGCTGCAGGTGATCCTGTAGTGGCTTCGTGACCTGGAATGCACTTCCTGCTGGTCGAAGTGATCCCCATTGAGGGTTTGTTTGTGCCTTGAATCTATCCGCAGTCTATGGATCATGAAGGGAAGAAACAAATAAAAGCCGAGCCCACAAGGGCATTCACACAACCGCTGCTGACATGTCCATGCAATGTCAATCAAGCAAGGACAGACTTCCACCAACAGCAACCGGGCATGAGAAGGCCGGGCCCGAGACGATCCGACCAGGTCACGGGCCCCTCCAGATCGCAGGTCGCTGATTACCTGGGAAATTCAAGCTTCCTCTTACGGATCAGGTCGTCAGTCGCAGCCCAAGAAGACGGCATTGAAATGACCCAAGTACTGCAGCCAGCTAGCTGGCTGCAGTACGACAGGTGACATGGCAATGCGAAACGTTTTACGTTGAAACTCAGACGATCCTTAAATAATCGACTGGACCTAAAACAAGACTCCTTTGTCCGGTGGAATTGGACGGCGACTTGCCTTTAGCTCGAAATGTTTCAAATAAACTCTTGGCTCGAGCCAAGAATTTGTTTTAAGGGATGTGACCTAGTTGCTTTCGCAAACCCTTTTCCCAAGTAATAGACTCTATCTGTCTATATACATATATATATATATATATGACACTAGACTCTACACTAGACCCAAGACAAGATTCCGTTGTCCGGTGGAATTTGACGACGAACTGTCTTTAGCCTGAAATAGCTGTTGACTCAAGCAAGAATCTTTTTTTGTACATATTTGTAGTCGTGTATGCTTGTAACTATTGCAACGGCCGGCACGGGCCGCAATGGCCGCAACGGCTATACGTCACCCCGCGCGGCCACCGCAACGGTTATACGTCACAACCTCGCCAGCTGCGACCGGTCACAGTTGGCGGGGATGTGCAGATGCCGCTGAACGCTTGGTGAGAGCCCGCTCTTGCGCAAGGGAGTCCTCTCACCAGGCGTCGCTGGCCCCGCTTGGTGAGAGCTAGGGGGGTCCGCTAGCACCGCCAGCGGACCCCCCCAGCTCTCACCAAGCGCTGTCGCGGACCCCCCCACAGCTCACCTGACGCACCTGGCCACGCGTGGTGAGAGGACACCCCGGCGCAAGGGCGGGCTCTCACCCAAGCGTTCAGCGGCACGCCCAACCATCGAAAGCCCGAAGACCGCAACAAGAGCAACACTTATACATCAACCCAGCGTCACATGGCCACTGTGACAACGGACCAAAACAAATGTAAAATCTATGATGTTTTACAGCGAGCACAGTCACCGCGGCCTTGACAACTGTCCGGACCATGATGCAGGCAAGAGTAACAGCTCAATGGCAGGAAGGAATGCTTGAAATCCAGTCACAAAACCACGGTTGTGAAACCGTGCTGAGCCTGAGATGGCAGGAAGTTGTTGCTGCTGTTACGCAGAAGGATTCTCTGTCGCTCTGATTGCTGCTTGAAACCCAATCGCAAAGCCATGGTTTTGGAACCCTGCTGAGCCTCAGATTGCGGGGCAAGCTCGCCAGTTGTTGCTGCTGTTGCGCAGAGGACGTCTATCTCGCTCTGAGTGCTCCTGCCAAGTTTAGGCCGGCACGGCCAGCTAGGTTCCACTCAGCCTGAGCGGTGCTGAGGCGCAGTCATGAATTAGGATCAGCGAAAGCGCATACACCACCGTGTTTTCAGGAGCACGGCATGAGCGGCAGGTTTGAGGTGTGAACATTTCTCTGCGCTCTTTCGTGACGCTTCCCTGCTCTTCCCCGGCAAGGCTTTCCCTAAATGAACAACGCGCGCATCACAGCACAAATGGAACGTTAGTCTACTGACTGAAGTAGACTGACTGATTTGACCGTGCTGCGCATTGTTCCCCCAATCTAAACAATCAATCCTTGCAGGAAATGCACCTGCCGGATTTCTTCATATCTAACTTGGTGATTGAATCCAGAAAGGTAGGCTTGTTGTACCATCTGTCATCCTGCCCGGCGCTTGCCTCATCCGTAGGCTAAAGACAGTAATCAGGCACAGGAGTAGCCTAGCAGGTCTCGAAGCTGAGGGTTGAGGGCTTTCGACATTTGCTTCAGCATCATCAGGTCCTGCTTTTCTGGTGTAACCTTGCCGCGGCTCTCCACGGCCTGCTGCAATGCCTGCATGAACTCGGTGAGGGTAGCCTGCCAGGATTTCAGTTTCTGCCTTCGCCGGTTCTGTTGCCTTCTGCGAGAAGCAAACCTACACGGCTTTGGATTTGTCGTTCAAGATGGGCAAGAGTTTAGCCATGTATGCGGATGCTCCTGTTCGGCTGAAATGCTGCACTGTCTCAACATTAACAAATCCAAACTCTGGAATGCTGGAAACACAGCTGGAAACACACACAAAAAAAATCCACAGGCCAAAAGTTTATTTTCAAGCATTTCGAGCTCCAGAAAGGCAATCCGCTGTCCAATTCAGCCGAACAGGAGGAGCGTATGCAGACATAGAAAAACTGTTTCCCAAAGCACACTATACAAATCCCTCTCCCAAAACCGAATGCAAAGTCTGGAACGCTGGAAACAAATAAAAAAAACTTTTGGAGCGAGCCAAAAGTTAATTTTCAAGCCTTTCGAGCTCCAGAGAGGCAATCTGTTGTCCAATTGCCGAACAGGAGCATATGCTTACATTTTTCATTAACCAATCCAAAGCCTGGCATGCTGGAAACACAGCTGAAAACATACAAAACAACTTTTCGCTCCAGGCAAAAGTTTATTTTCATGCCATTCGAGCGCCAGAAAAACAATCTGTTGTCCAATCCAGCCGAACAGGAGCGTGTGCTTACACGGAAAAACTGTTTCCTGCACGCTGCAAACATGCAAAACAAACAAACTTTTACCTCCAGGGGAAAGTTTTTTTTTGGCAGCATTTCGAGCTGCGCAAACGCAATGTGCCAAGGACTTTAAGCACACAATACAAATTCTGCCCCAAAATCAAATCCAAAGCCTGGAATGCAGGAAACACACACAAAAAAACTTTTTGCACTGGCCAAAAGTTTATTTTCAAGCATTTCGAGCTCCAGAATGGCAATCCGCTGTCCAATTCAACCGAAAAGGACGTATGCAGACATAGAAAAACTGTTTCCCAAACAGAAATCCAAAGCCTGGCATGCTGCTAACACACAAAACAAACTTTTACCTACATCGAAAATTTTTTCCAGCATTTCGAGCTGCGCAGACGCAATGCACCAAGGACTTTAAGGGTTTAGGGTTTGGGACGCAATACAAATTCCTGCCCCAAAATCAAATCCAGAGCCTGGCTGGAATGCAGGAAACACACACAAAAAAAAACTTTTTGCACTGGCCAAAAGTTTATTTTCAAGCATTTAGAGCTCCAGAAAGGCAATCCGGTGTCCAATTCAGCCGAACAGGAGCGTATGCAGACATGGAAAAACTGTTTCCCAAAGCATACAATACAAATCCCTCTCCCAAAATCGAATGCAAAGTCTGAAACGCTGCAAACATACAAAAAGAAACTTTTGGAGCCAACCAAAAGTTTATTTTCAAGCCTTTCGAGCTCCAGTAGAGGCAATCCGTTGTCCAATTCAGCCGAACAGGAGCATGGAAATGAAAGCAGTTTGAGCAAACAACACACAAATATCTGTCTCAACACTGACAAATCCAAACTCTGGAATGCTGGAAACACAGCTGGAAACACACACAAAAAAACTTTTTGCACGCGCCAAAAGTTCATTTTCAAGCATTTCGAGCTCCAGAAAAGCAGCCCGATGTCCAATTCAGCTGAACAGGAGCGTATGCAGACATGGAAAAACTGTTTCCCAAAGAGAAATCTAAGGTTTGGCATGCTGCAAACATACAAAACAAACTTTTACCTCCAGGTAAAAGTTTTTTTCAGCATTTCGAGCTGCGTTAACGCAATGCGCCAAGGACTTTAAGCAAGCAATACAAATTCTGCCCTCAAATCAAATCCAAAGCCTGGAATGCAGGTAAGAGCTCCGAATCAACCTTCGAAGGCTCGAGAGTTATTTTCCGTGCCATTCTGGCAATGAGATCTGTCCCTTGGAAGCCTTACAGAGACCTGTTCTATTGACGCGACAGTGCAGTACAGGGCTCAAGACAACACCCTGCCTCGGCAGCTCCTTGAAGCTGGTCCAATGCATCTGCAGACAGCTTGCTGGCCCAGTCGCCCTTGACGTCGAGCTCCTTCCGCATTTGCTTCAGGACGTTTTCCGCGTCCTTGCGGAACTTTGTCGGCTTGATGCAGAAGGTATGGCATCGCTGGGACCAGAAGTTGATCTGCTGTTCCACGCGTCTTGTGTACTTGGCACCCTTGGCCGGCCCCCTCTTGGGCGCAGTGGGAACCTGGGAACAACCCCCCAACACTTCCGTCCTGCACTCACACCCACACACATACACCTAAACGCTGCCCCAAGGAACCGGGATATCCTGGACAGTGACTGCCAACGGGTGCAGAGAAACGAGTTCAATCGAAATGGAATGATGTTTTACAGCGAGCACAGTCACCGCGGCCTTGACAACTGTCCGGATTCCGTCCTGCACTCACACCCACACACATACACCTAAACGCTGCCCCAAGGAACCGGGATATCCTGGACAGTGACTGCCAACGGGTGCAGAGAAACGAGTTCAATCGAAATGGAATGATGTTTTACAGCGAGCACAGTCACCGCGGCCTTGACAACTGTCCGGATTCCGTCCTGCACTCACACCCACACACATACACCTAAACGCTGCCCCAAGGAACCGGGATATCCTGGACAGTGACTGCCAACGGGTGCAGAGAAACGAGTTCAATCGAAATGGAATGATGTTTTACAGCGAGCACAGTCACCGCGGCCTTGACAACTGTCCGGACCATGATGCAGGCAAGAGTAACAGCTCAATGGCAGGAAGGAATGCTTGAAATCCAGTCACAAAACCACGGTTGTGAAACCGTGCTGAGCCTGAGATGGCAGGAAGTTGTCGCTGCTGTTACGCAGAAGGATTCTCTGTCGCTCTGATTGCTGCTTGAAACCCAATCGCAAAGCCATGGTTTTGGAACCCTGCTGAGCCTCAGATTGCGGGGCAAGCTCGCCAGTTGTTGCTGCTGTTGCGCAGAGGACGTCTATCTCGCTCTGAGTGCTCCTGCCAAGTTTAGGCCGGCACGGCCAGGTAGGTTCCACTCAGCCTGAGCGGTGCTGAGGCGCAGTCATGAATTAGGATCAGCGAAAGCGCATACACCACCGTGTTTTCAGGAGCACGGCATGAGCGGCAGGTTTGAGGTGTGAACATTTCTCTGCGCTCTTTCGTGACGCTTCCCTGCTCTTCCCCGGCAAGGCTTTCCCTAAATGAACAACGCGCGCATCACAGCACAAATGGAACGTTAGTCTACTGACTGAAGTAGACTGACTGATTTGACCGTGCTGCGCATTGTTCCCCCAATCTAAACAATCAATCCTTGCAGGAAATGCACCTGCCGGATTTCTTCATATCTAACTTGGTGATTGAATCCAGAAAGGTAGGCTTGTTGTACCATCTGTCATCCTGCCCGGCGCTTGCCTCATCCGTCGTGCCCAGAAAGGCTTCCGCGGTCCGTTGACCGACGATTGTCCATTTGCTTTCACTAACCGACACAGATGCCTTGATCAAGTCCACGATCACCGGATGCTTTGCAGCAAACTCGGCGGTCATGTGCAGCCTCAGACTCTTCTTAACCGCAGGCACGTGCTGCACCATGGATCCCGTGTTCTGGGTCACAACTGTGCTGTCTAGCATCTGCCGTCCCAGCAGTTTCGCCAACCACTGACACTTCAAGGGAGGTTGGAGCGCGTCCTTGACAAAGAAGATGTCTGCGTTCTGCGGTTCAGCCACAGGGATCAAGTTCTTGGATGTGAGAAGCACACTGATCTCCTCGGGCAGTGTTTCCTCGACATAGAATCTCTTTCCGGCCAGCTCACCCCAAGACAGGGTCTGGTGCATGCGCTCAGCCGCTTGTGTGTTGAGGCGCCGGCGCTGGACTAGATTCTTGTCGTTCTTTCTGTCCCGTGCACGTTGTTCCGCCGCTTCTTGGAGCAAGTCCGGACACACCTCCTTCTCCAGCAGGGTGTTCCGGTTGTAAGACTCGAGTCGGATTTTCTTTTGTTTGGATTGTTGAAACTCAAGCTCCGCCTGATGATCTTCAGACCACATAGGATTTTGAAGAGCCTCGTCCTCATCGAAGGTCAACTCGTCTCCTGCCCGTTCGGCTGCAGCGACACCCTCAGCCACCTCTGCACGACGTCCTCTGAGCCAGCCTGCCTGCGTGCCTCCGCCTTTTGCTTGACATGCACCTGGTTGCCGCTTGACTCCACGGTCGACACGGGTAAGGGCTCTCTTGCGGACACTGCCTGTTGGAGAAGGTCATCATGAAGTCTTATTCGTTTTATTCAGTCAGAAAGTAATGAGGACACGACTATAGAAGACAAGAGAGACATGCTAACAATTTGAATGAAAACACGCCTGGGCAACTTCGGTGATAAATCTCACGGGCTGCGGCACAGAGGTCAGCCTCTGCCTTCTGGGTCAAGGGCTGCAGCTTCAGGAAGCGAAGCTTGCAAACTTCGCTCTCAGCAGATGCAGGACTTTCGCCCAGTCTGGCACGTTCATGCCGCGAAAACGTCTGCTCAACGCCTGAAGTCGAGGCTTGCCATGACAGGTATCGGGACAGCACCGGCAGCAAATCTGTTGCTGGGTAGGCATCGCGCATGGACTTGCGATGCTGCGTCCTGAGCATGACCTGCACCCATGCCTCCTTGTTCGGCAAGTCAGACGCCCAACGCAGCTGCTCGGCCATGGGCCTGAGCCTGTCCAGCTGCTGCGCCAGACCCTCTGGGTTCACCTTGAAAGCCTTTGCGAGGCGGGCGATCATGTCCTGCGCCTGCCCGTCAGAACACCGGTGGGCACCGCCTCCAGAGGAGGAGGAGCTCAGGTTCAGCACGTTCATGGCGTTGAAAAGGGAGTAGTTTGGGAACTCTGTTCTCAATACCTCCAAAGCCAGCTTGGTCCAGCACCGCATTCTGGCCAGGCATTCTTGGATGTATCCGTCCGTGACCGGCCGAAGCCGAAATCCGGCACCCTGAGCAAAGAAAGTCAAAGATTCGCCCTTAAGCATGTCCATTGCATGCTTCGTGTACCCGCACTGCACGATGTGACCTTGGCTGAAGAGCCACACCACGCGGTCGTGGAATGCACGAACGTGGTTGCTCAGCTCACTCAGGTCGACGTCCTCCCGGTCCACAGCTCGAATCAACAGCAGGCCTTCGTCGCCTGCGTCGGCCAGCATGGCAAGCAAAAGAATTCTTTGCGAGGTCAACCTGCTCAACCACTGACTAGCCTTGCCTGCCTCTTTACCTCCCCTGGTCTCGGTGATGCGCTGAACCACATTCACAAAAGCAGGCAAGTACATCAAAAGCCTTCCGATAGGTATCGTGTGACTTTCGAATCTGTGTTTCGCAGACTTGAGATTCCTGCAGTTTTTGCCCCACGGACTGGCTTCCATTCGCTGAATCTCCTCTGCGAACCAGCCATTGAATTCGAAGCTTTTGCTGACAATCTGCAGCATCGAGTCCGAACTCAACACGTAATCTGTCATGAGTGAAGAAAGCTGCTCGTCCGCCAAATAGGGTCGCTGCAAAACTTTTCTGTAAGCATGTGCAGAATCTCTTCCAATCAGGAGCAAGTTGGGAAACAACGGCGAGGTAGCACCTTCCTTCTCGATGCGAGGATCGCGGTCTCCTGCGCTGGCCGCGGTCGCCACGATCTCGTTAGCAGCTGCATCACTCACAACAACCTCCACGTGTTGTGTGAGCCGGTCAAACAACCCGCCACAGAACTGCGGCTCCGGCCCCGCATACCACCGAGGCGGGTGCGCGTTCTCTGTGCAGAAATCCTCCAGGATTTTGCGCGTGGCTTGAAGAAGATTGCCACCGCTGTCACCCATGTTTCGGGTCTGCCCGAGAATGCCGCTGCGACAATCCAAGGTTGTTTTTGAGCAAGTGCCGTACCTGATCAAAAGCCTCTGCTTTCTAGCATCTCGCATGAGGCATATGCTTGATGCCTCTGCAAGGACTCGTCGGTCCTCCTCAAGCAAGGCCTCCTGCAAGCTCCAAATCATCAGCCGGACCTTGTCCGAGCAATTCTTGTGCTCGGACAGTTCTCGTTCGGACTGCCCCTTCTGCAGCCTGTGTAGCATCGCCTTGAACTCATCCACGGGCGGAGCGCTGACAGAACCGTCTGTAAGTCCGAGAAATGCCTCCACTGCTGCCTTGTGTTGCTTGCCTTTAGAGTGATGCACGACATGATGCAGCCTGAAGTCGGCCACCTCAGCACAGGCAGTTCCTTGGGCCCAAGGTCCTTGCATCTTGGCCTGTTCACAGGCTATACAACGGCAGCCCGCCGGAGTCATGACCAGCCAAGTCTTCTTGGCCAGCTCCTTCTGGTACGGAGTCAGTTGGCGAAGATCTGCCAGCGCATCCCCCATTTTGCAGGATGACTGAAACCGGACAGTGCAAGATTTCCATCTCTCAGCAAAGCCACCATTGGCGCGGCGGGAACAGGGCTTTGCAGACTTCTTCCCTGAGTGCTCCAGCTCCGGTTCTCTGTCTCTAGCACGCCGCGGCGGCGGCGTATGAATGGGGGAGTCCTCCTGCCAATCTAGGTCCATTCCTGCAGCGAAAGACCTATTCTGGACGCAAAAAGAGGCCGGGATGGCACCTAACCGGATGTACGATCACGCAGATTGAAGATTTGCTGCAACCTCTGAGAGTGAGTATATGGTTTTTAATGGACAGCTGCATTGTCGAAATACATGGCTGAAGTTGTGCCCGTGTGCTGGTTCTGACCAATCAGTGTTCATATTAAGAATACCTGCGAGCGCCAGCGGCGGGATCTGTTTTCTTCGTTCAATGCGGACTCAAGCATCCAACACGCAAAGCGTACCACTCTGCATACAACATGTCAAATTTATGACATGCTACATCCCCTGGAGCACATCGAAGCCTCAGGAAACGAGTAACTACAACGATCGGAATGTAACCGGACCCCCTCGGGACCACGGGCTTACATCGCCAAGCTAAAACGGAACAGACACAAAGTACAATATACCGTGATGCCCCGAGTTGAAAACGCAGACCTGGAACCCTATTGAGTCTGATGAAGCCAGAGTCATCGGCCCTCCTTGCGGGACCACGATTATCGCTAACACCAAACGACCCTAGACATGCTGAACTCTGATGTTTCTAACTCTCGTTTTATTTTTTGAGTTTACTGCTCAAGCTCACTGAGAGAAGGGCCGAATTCGAGATGAAGGACCGCCGTAGGACCTGGTCATCAGCTCAAAAAAGCAATACAAGAAGCACCAAAATCCCTGCAACTCCCTCCCTCACTCTTTTTCTCAGCCCCTGGCGCTGAGCTGCTCCCGTTCTTGTTGCCCGACTTTAATGTCAGCTAGCCCTCAGCAGCTCCGGTTCTGGTTAGCCGCCGTTCATGTCACCTGGCGCTGAGCTGAGCCAACACCAAACACAACAGTCGTCGGAGCTCCATTAGCTGCTAAGAATCTTAAAAACCTGCCCCACTCGGGACCACGACGGGCATTTCATGGCAAGGGAAAACCGACTTGATCCCCAGCAACACAAACCGTGAGGCCCTTTTTAGAAGTCAAAATCTTTACCGAGCAATGATTTGTGAGACGTCATCCCGAAAACACTTGAACCCCCATCCCTAGCAGCATGTCCCAAGCCCAATGCCCTCGGGCACCGAAACCCAATGTCCCAAAAAGCAAAGCCTAAACCGAAACCCTGCGCAGCCCAAACTTGATGATAAGACCCTTAGACCGTATGAGAACCAACGGCGCATATCATGAACCTATAGACCCTTGACTCTGATCCTGCAAGTCTAATTTGAGCACCTGGCCGAAACAAGAGAATGTGTCTGTGACCTCGTCACCTCGGCATCAATTTCAATACAGTCAGCAAGCGACTCCAGCTTCGTGCCGTGGCGTGTCCAAGCAGAAGCGGGCAAAGCAGGCCAAGCAGGAACCTTTTAAGCCCATCATGCGCGGCGGGGCCGCTTGGCCGCCGCCACAGCCTCCAGGTCCGTCTCACCCTCAGTCACATCAGTCTCGCTGGCAGTCGCGGCCGGTGAAGTCGGTGCAGGCGGCAGGGTCTCAGCTTGAACGGCACATGATGGCTGCAAACATAAGCATAGCGTCACGAATTTCCGAGCACAGCTTGGGCCTTGACGGCGGGCAGCGAACTCGGTGCCCGCGGCGAAGGCCTGACTCAATGACGACTATGATGTGGTACGAAAAGATAGGCTGCTAAGCTGTGGACGCTGATGATCTGGCCAGCTGCTCTCTCTCACGTTTCCATGGTGGAAGCTCCTGTTCCCGGGCGACATAGACAAGTTTGCCTCGCAACTGCTTCGGGTTACTCCTTCGTCACGTCCATGGTCATCAGTGGCAGCAGCTCCTCCTGAGTGCGGTGTTCAACCCAGTCCTGGCGAATGTTTGCAATGGCAGCGGCAAGGTCGGCTTAAACAGGCTTTCGTCTTACATCACTCCGGCCTGCAGGTCGCTCAGCTTCGTGTCCCTCCATGCGTTGACCAACTGCTTCAGCTGAGAGATCTCCTTATCCTTCTCCCCCATCTCTCGCCGGTGCTCTGCCCTCTCTGCCTCAAGCTGGGCATCCTTAGCCTGGCACCTCACCAAGAACGCTTGTTTGTAGTCCTTCTCCCTTTCACTCAGGAGGTATTTCATTTCTCTCCTGATCTTGGAGAAGTTATACTTGCCGCTCTTGGCTTCCCAGCAGGTACCGAACATGTTGGTCAAAACGTCTGGTGACAGATCTCCAGGCAAAAACGCATCACCCTGGCCGTCGCCGCCGCCAAGGAAATTGTCATAGTTCTCCTCGGCCTCAGTCCTGAAACAGCACTGTCAGAGTTCAACATAGAGCGTCTTGGCTGCCAACTGTCCTGGGCTTTGGCACCGCCGCCTTCGGCTGCACCACCTGGTCATTCCACAACAGTTGAATGCTCCGCACCCTCCTTTAAAAATGTCATTTCACACCACGCCCGGCCTTCGGCTGTCGCAGCTGCTGGGCTGCCGTCTGACCCTGCAAGGGCTGGACGAGACAGAGAGAGTGAATGGGTGGGTGGGCGGGCAGGCTGGGTGAGACTGAGAGAATGCCTCCTCTGCTGGGGCTTGTATGCTGCCGCTGGAGGCAGCCTAGCAAAGACGGAGCGGGGAACCATCGCATTCGCGCTCCAGGTCAGATTCGACGGGCTCATGTAGCTGCGGCACCTTGTGTTGCGCTGGCCACCGCGGGGGAACGACCTGGCAACAAGTTGGCATCTCAGGGTCGTAAATTTGTAGGGCTCTGCAGAGAAGGAGAGGAAGATTCGATAATGATAGAGCCCTGGTCGCACTGGTCGCCGCGCCTTCGCCACGCGCTTTGGCGCTCCTTCCATGGCCCGGGCACTTCCGGAGGTCACAGAAAAACCCTCCGAGCACGATTACGTCGCGCAGTGCTGCGAGCTGTAGTTGCGCATTCCAATACATGTCTACTTGCCTCTAAGGCTTTTGATTGTTGCTAGAGCCTTTACTTCTCATGCCCCATAACGGTCATAACGGTGTCGGACCATACATGCCTGCACCTATCCTTTGCCAACTGGAGCCACAAAGGCTACAGGAGACATAGGGAGACCAAAACGAGCCTGGAGCTCACTGGATCAGGAGTGGACAAAGAGTATGAAAATTCAACTTCCATCTGTGTCGTCGGAGAATGCTGAGCAGCACACCAATCCAATATGAGGCGTCGAAGACAAGCAAGACCTGGCCAGATTACTCCGGGAAAGACTTACTGACAACTTAGGCTGAAAGCAGAAGGAATGATTGTTCAACATTCGCCTAGAAAAGAAGTGCAACAGCGCAAGCAGACAAAGACGACCAAAGCTTTCGAAGGAAGCCCCAGGCACCGCTTGCGTGTCAAGAAGCTAGCTAAAAGCTCCAGGGCCCCCCTTAAACACCTGCCCCCGCTTCAGGAGAACAGCATTTGACTAACATACCCGTCAATAAGACTTTGAATTCTCTGTCACCCGAGCTGCTTGATGTCTGAGTGTCTAAAGCTGACAGCGCTAGTGTGTAACCTAAATCCCAAAACACCTGCCCCCATTTCGGGAGCACAGCTAAGACTAACAAACCCCTTACACTTGAAAACTCTTTTTTTTTAGCTGGGGCGGTTATAAATCGGTGCCACCCCACCCCGCCCCACCCCAGCCAACCCCACCCAGCATGTAACTTAAAGATCCTTAAACACCTGCCCCCGCTTCGGGAGCACAGCATTTGACTAACATACCCGTCAATAAGACTCTGAATTCTCTCTCACCCGAGTTGCTTGATGTCTGAGTGTCTAAAGCTGACAGCGCTAGTGTGTATCCTAAATCCCAAAAGACCTGCCCCCCTTTCGGGAGCACAGCTAAGACTAACAAACCCCTTACACTTGAAAACTCTGTGATCTCTGGCACCCGGGCTGCTGACCTTCATGATGCTGCTCCTGGACGCCTGCAGCAGCTACTAATCACTCCTTCCAGGGAATCTCCTGCTAACCAGCTCCCCACTTCAGCATCGGCATTCGACGAGGCACGAGCATCTTTTAGCCTTCTAGCTGGAAGATGCTTGCGCAGGTCAACGAAGACGCCGGCGCAGGTCAACGAAGTTCGCCTGACGCGAACACGTCAAGGATTGAATTGTGCTTCACTGCTTCACTTCTTACGGCTGCCGGCCTGGGCGTAGCCGACGACTGCAGTTCGCGCTGTCTGAACGATTGCCTGGAATCATGGATTTCCCAAGAAAAGCACATGAGCAAAGCTCAAGCCAGCTAAATAAAGCAGGCGAGATTCTGGGTGCTTTGCGGCCATTGCTGTCAGATGCGATTCCAGCCGGTCGCAGAAGGCAAGGGTTTTCCGCAAGCTGTCAATCGCCTCGCCATCCGTTCGAGGGATTTCTGGCTCCACCCAGGTGTAGTTCACTGTGAAGTCTGCCTCGACAAGCGAGGGCAACATAGCATGGATGAGGACTACTGTCCTATGAGGATGCAGCAATGCAGCCAAAGAACAGGAGGGATGCAATCCTTGACATACTTCAGGGCGCCAGTCAGTTGGCAATAGCGGGTATGCGCGCGCTGCCATTGTTCAAAGACTCCTTGCATCGATAAATGCTGGAGACGTAAAGCAGCGTTTTTATTCGATGCAAACAAGCCACCCGACTGCGCCGAGGATCGTGATCTCTTCTTCTTCTTCTCATCTGCCGCTGGACCTGAGTTCAGCAGAATCTACTGCCCGAAACGGCCGGAACCCAGAGTTCCTGAAATGAAGCGGAGAGGCCACGAGAGCCCGAGGATTGCCCTGCGCAGGGCGGACTCGCCGGTATCTCCGTCATGATCTGGTCACGTGTGGCAGCCTTAAGCCAAAATTAATTTAATGAGGCACAGGAGCTGCACGACCCAGACGCCTTCTCGGCGGGAACCTTGCTCTCACCACCTGAGTTTAAACGGACATTGCGCGACACATTGATAGCCTTCCCCGAACCTCAGCTGAAAAGAATCGTCGTGTGTTTATTTCTGCCAGCCTCATCCCCCTGATGCTGGTGCTTGCTCACTTGCAGCCCCGGTAAGAAACTGTCTCGAGTCCTGAAAGTATATAGGCTCGCAAGGTCCTTCCTGGTACAAAACCCCTGAATAACTGTGGTTTTCGCCCAAAAACGGCAATTCTGTCCCCTTTTACTGGGGCCACCTTATATTTCTATTAGAAATATGGTAAAATCCTATTAAAGGAGGTCGAAGGCGGCCAAAACAAGCCCAGAAACCTCACACATGGACCTAGGTGGACCACCATACCTAAAAGCAATCATGCACCATTGGCCAAGGGACTGCTGCCATGTGTTGACGACAACGCTGCCGCTGCCTTTGCTTTGCCTGAAGGCCCATGAACAAATATGCGTTAGGCGATGTATCCTTGTGGATTTAATTTACTTGTATTGAATTGCAGAAGCGTCGCTCTTGGCCTTTCGCCGGCGGGGGTTGAGCTTGCATCCTTTCTTCTGCTGAGGCTCCATGGCGCCGGGGCTAGATCTGAAGACTCTTTGAGGTTGCGGCCCGCTCGTCACCTATTTCGATGTGGAAACGCGGCGCTCAGCAGTTGCAAGTGACAGCGTGAGAGCGCAATCCGTTGAAACCTATACACTTTGAACCCGAAACCGGGACCCCATAACGAGGAGGCTCTATATGCGAGCAGTGCAAGCGCATAATAATCTACGTAATTGCAGACAGATATAACACCATGGTTATAAGACAGCGGTGAGTGTCTCCTCAGGAACCCTCGTGCTAGCAGTTTAAGTTGCAAGGGCAAAAGATGTTATGGCGAGAACTCTGTGCCTCAGATGCAGCAAGGCTTGTTGGCGATGGCCGGTCCTGCAACAGAGTTGCAGCCGTGCCACCCCATATCTCAATCCGTACACCCAAAAGCTTAATCGGTGTGGCTTCAGGGATCGTGTTTGTTTGGTTTGGGCTGGGATTCGGTAGTTTAGGTATCCCAAAAACCGAAGCAGGAAATTCTAAAGGCAGACGTCCCTGAGCCCTGGACACTCACTGAACCGGTTTCTTTTTAGACTTTAGAGTATGTAAAGCAACATGAGGGCCATATCCCATAAGCAAGCCCTATAGTTTAGAGATCCCAAAAGCCCAAACAACAAATTCTAACAGCAGACGTCCCTGAGCCCTAGACACTCAACCCATAGAATCCGACTTTAGGGTTTAGGATGTAGCGCTTTAGGCATTATCCATATCCTATTAAGCAAGGCCTATAGTTTAGAGATCCCAAAAACCCAAACAACAAATTCTAACAGCAGACGTCCCTGAGCCCTAGACACTCAACCCATAGAATCTTACTCTAGGGTTTAGGATGTAGCGCATTAGGCATTATCCATATCCTATTAAGCAATGCCTATAGTTTAGAGATCCCAAAAGCCCAAACAACAAATTCTAACAGCAGACGTCCCTGAGCCCTAGACACTCAACCCATAGAACTACTTTAGGGTTTAGGATGTAGCGCATTAGGCATTATCCATATCCTATTAAGCAATGCCTATAGTTTAGATATCCCAAAAACCCAAGCAGAAAATTCTAACAGCAGACGTCCCTGAGCCCTGGACACTCAACCCATAGAATCTTACTCTAGGGTTTAGGATGTAGCGCATTAGGCATTATCCATATCCTATTAAGCAATGCCTATAGTTTAGATATCCCAAAAACCCAAGCAGAAAATTCTAACAGCAGACGTCCCTGAGCCCTGGACACTCAACCCATAGAATCTTACTCTAGGGTTTAGGATGTAGCGCATTAGGCATTATCCATATCCTATTAAGCAATGCCTATAGTTTAGATATCCCAAAAACCCAAGCAGAAAATTCTAACAGCAGACGTCCCTGAGCCCTGGACACTCAACCCATAGAATCTTACTCTAGGGTTTAGGATGTAGCGCATTAGGCATTATCCATATCCTATTAAGCAATGCCTATAGTTTAGATATCCCAAAAACCCAAGCAGAAAATTCTAACAGCAGACGTCCCTGAGCCCTGGACACTCAACCCATAGAATCCTACTTTAGGGTTTAGGATGTAGCGCTTTGGTCGCAGGTTCAGCGCGACGTCGCTGTTGCTCAAATCTTGCTTGCTGGGAGTGTAAGCTTCGTCCAGATGTGCATACCCCCAATACTCCAATTTTGCCGCTATTCCTACCGGTCCCCATCGGGACAACAGCTAAAACGCCCTGGAACTACCGCTTAGGCTTACACTTCCTCGCCCCCCTTCGGAAGCACCGCTAAGGCCTGGAACATGTCAGGCGTCTGTGCACCTGCCCAGGTTTGCACAGTTGGTTTGAGTGGGACGCTGATGTCCCATGATCCTCCGAACCGCTGTTTTGGTGGGACTCTGCTGCTCCCAACAAACCTTCCGCCCGGTGCCCTGACCCTTCAAGCATGAACCCTGACTACTGAAAAAACTTGTCACGCGTCCTCGTCGACCAGGACAGGGGAACACCGGCCCCCCCAAAAGGGAGTCCACCATGTCCGCCCCGTCCTCGCACTGAGTTAGCCACAGGGGACCCGGGGCCTTCCCGAAGAAAGTCCACCATGTCCGCCTAGACTATGTCTCAAGAACAAGGGAACACAGGGCCTCCGCGAAGGGAGTCCACCATGTCCACCTCGTCCTGCAGGACAGGGGAACACAGGGCCTCCCCGAAAGGAGTCCACCATGTCCACCCAGTCCATATGCCGACGTTTCATACGCGAGCCCCGAACCTAAACCTCCAACATCCCCCAACCCAAACCTCCAACACCCACTCACACTCACTACTGTGATTCTGGAAGGCCTGCCTGAGCCTTCCACGCCAGCTCCAAGGCCCAAGCTGCCTGGTGTTTAGGGTGTGGGAGCTGGGGTTGAAGGCTTGAGGTTTATGGTCGAGGAAAGGTTTTCGTCCCCGGGTTAGGGCTTAAGGCTGAGGGTTCCACTTCAAAATAAATATCGGCTGTAGGGAAAGGTAGGTGCAGGGTTTTGCGGGTTAAGGTGTGACATTTAGGCTTTAAAGAATCATATAGGGTAGTATAATATTCCCGAAAACCTTCCGTGTTAAAGTCCTAGTTGGGTGGTTCTAAGGCCTGTCAAAGGGCACAGTTTTGTGGGTCAAAAGTGGTATTGTTTTTTGACCCACAAACAAATGCATTCACCCCTAAGCCCTACCCGTACACCCCAAGCACTAATCTCAGCCCAAAGCGCAAGAACTACCAAACGGCCAACGAGCCTACCCCAAACCCCGAACTTCATTCAAACTCGAAGCAGCCACCCTAAAGCCCTACACCCTAAACCGCCTCCAAGGCAAGCGAGTCTGGATGATGATGATGCCGCCGACCTATGCTCAGTGAGGACTTCGGCTAGAGTTTTAAACTCATAAAAAAAAGGTGAAAGGCTTAATGCAAGTTCCTTCTTAGATTAAACAACCCACCGTCGGGAGCACTTCTTAGAACACTTCCTTTGGCACTTCCTAAATCCGGCTAGTTTCGGAAGTGGCACTTCCAAAGTCTGGTTTCTACAATCAAATCTAGTTAGCAGCAGCAGCAGCAACAGTAGCAGTAATACCAGTCTCCGAGTGGTAGTGGTGGCAACAGCACAGCTGCAGCAGCAGTAGCAGTAAAGCAGCAGTAGCAGTAATAGCAGTCTCCGAGTAGTAGTGGTGGTAATAGTAGTCGTGGTCGTGGTGGTGGTGGCAGGTAGCAGTAGTAGTTGTAGGCAGCCAGCTAGCTGGCAGCCGAGCTTGGGTGCGGTAGTAGTGGTAGGGTGGTCGTGTTGGTGGTGGTAGCAGTAGTACTTGTAGGCAGCCAGCTAGCTGGCAGCCGTTGTTGTTAGTAGTAACAGTAGTAGTGGTAGTAGTAGTAGTTTAGTATAGTTTAGTGGTAGTAGTGGTAGTAGTGGTAGTAGTAGTAGTAGTAGTAGTAGTAGTAGTAGTAGTAGTAGTAGTAGTAGTAGTAATAGTACCAGCACTAGTACCAGTACTAGTACTAGCAGTAGCAGCAATAATCTAGCAGTACAGCCAGCCAGCCAAAGGATGCTGGGTGCTGGGCGCTCGCGTCCTCCAGGGTCTTGTCACCATACCTGCGTTCCCGAAGAGGGGCTTCAAACAATAAGCCTACTAAGTATTATATCCGATTATGTAATGGTTAGCATCCCTTCGGAAGCACAGCTAAGAAAGGACCAGATTTAGGGCTTAGGGTTTAAAGCTCCACAAAACCCATTATGTCGACGATATGTTCCCTATAGCCCCCCTTCGGGAGCACAGCTATGGAAGAAAGTACTAAATCCAAGGCTCGGGTTAGGGCTTTTGGGGTTTAACTGTAATTATTTAGGGTTTAGGGTTTACAGCCCCACAAAATTTATTATGTCCGACTATATATTCCCTTGCACCTCTTCGGGAGCACAGCTACGTAAGAAAGGATTAAATTTAGGGTTCCAGGCTGAGAGTTTAGGCTCTAGGGCTTGAGGTCTAGGTTTAAGGGCACCCCTTCGGGAGCACAGCTAAGGATGAAAACGCCGTGCAAATTAAGCCCATTGGCTGTGGCCCGGTCTGCACCTGCGAAGTCCGCCCCGGTCGGTCCCCGGCGGCCGATGCTGCTTTTGCAGAGGATCAAGGTTAAGGTTCAGGCCCAAATTTTTGAGATTTCGGAATAATAGGTTTTCCCAGCCCTATACATCCTACAACGCACTCTCAGTCTCTGCAAGGTGACCAAGTTTCAGGGCGAGCACAGCGCAAGCTCAAAATCAAGCCCTTTCGGACCGGACCCCGTGCATGTTTGTATATACGTACATATATACCACAAAGACACAAAGATAACAAAATCTGAGAGGTCGCCCGTGGTAATCATATGATTTTCTGCGAACATCGGCCAGTCTGGATGTTTTGTGGCAATCATATGATTTTCTGCGAACATCAGCCAGTCTGGATGTTTGCAAAAGAATGGAACAAAGCTCTTCCAGACCAATACAGTGGACGCCAAAAAATTGGAACGTGCACACCCTAACATTCAGCACTCCATGAGCGAGCGCGTGCAAGTTCCAATTTCGGCATTATGTTCCAAAGTTGGAACATTCTGATTCTGACTGGACCGGCCGGAAAACCCAGTGTCTGTGGATGTCATCAAGGTTGGCCATGGATGATATGGACATCATTATGCTTGGAGGGTGGGGGGGCACCCTGTGGAGGGGAAACAACCTAACCTAGCACTATCCTAAACCCTAAGCCCAGCTTCCCCTGGTTGGGGGACCCCAAAAAAATATACAGTAAATGCTGGGCCCTAAACCCTACGTGCCCGCTTTCCCTTAAAACTTGGGGGGCTAGGCACCCTAAACCCTATGCCCGGTTTCCCCTAAAATATAGGGACCTAGGCAGATGTGTCCTAAACCACCCTGAAAAACCCTGAAACGAAACCACCCCCACACGCAAACCGCAACCCTAGGAACCGGGGGGGCGGGGGGCGGGTTGGGAGGGAGGGTTTGAGGCAACACCAACCATGTTCCAACTTTAGCCTCCAAGATCAAAGTCGGAACCTGTGGCTTGGGGCCAATTTGCTCCAGTGGACACGTTCCAACCTCCCGGCTTCCACCATAAATACATAATACAATATAACAACATCATTTGACAAGCCAGTGACGACCAATGTTACATTCACACATTTTTTGCGAACATCAGTCAGTGGCACTCACCAAAAGAAAAAAGCAACAGCAGCAACAGCTATACATCAGCAGGAAGACGCGCGCAACATGGTAACCCCGCCGGCCGGGCCCAACAGGGGGCCGGGCAGGCGTTCGGCATGCCAACACGCGCCGGCCAGTTGGATCCGCGTGGCCTTGTCGGTCCAAGCCCGCCGGTAGAGGGGAGCCTCGAGCACGCAACGCCCGCCTGTTTGCAACTGCGCGGCGGCCAACCGCAAAACGGAAGACCACTCGTCGGCGGGCGGACCCGGCGGCAGCGCGGCAGGGAGCAGCCAGAGGCAAGAGACGCCTCCTTCAGTAATGTACGCCAGAGCTGCGGCGGCGGCAGCGGCGTCGGGCAAAGGTCCCCAGGCACACTCAGAGGCGGCGTGCGCCGTGGAAGGCCCCAACACCAGCAGCGGGAGGGCCTGTCCCGCGGGGGGCAGACAGGGGAGCAGCGGCCAGTCGACGGACGTGGTCGGAACGGCGGGAGCAGCGGTGTGGGTGTCGGGCCCGGAACGGGCCTCGACAGGGTGGCCGCGACCTGCGCGCAAAACTTGTAACCCAAACGCCCCGGCCTCACGCCCCGTCCGAAACGAACCGGGCGCCCGCTTGGTGGCAGACCTGGCACTGCAGGAGACGCCCCGCGTCGAGAAGCGGAGAGCCCTCAGCTTCCTCAAGGTACCGAGCTCTCAGCTCCCCCAAGGGCGGCAAGCAGGACTCGTCTGGAACCAGCAAGCGCATGTGGCCACGGTGCACCAGCACCCACCGGGTGTCCTCAGCTTTGCCGCTCGCTGTAACGGCTGCCACAGACAACCTCCACGCTAGGCCGCATATATGCGTCGAGGCGCAGGACGGCCAAGCCCAAGCAATCCCACTCCTCCAAAGGGTGGGCAACCAAAGTACGGTAGTCTCGGTCGTGCCCAAAATGGAGAAGGTCGTGGTGGAACACTCGGACATCCGCTTCGGCCTGCGTGAGCCGTTCGGGCGTTGGCCCCAAAGAGTCCTCGGCGACTCGTGCCTGCGAGCACCACCGGACTCTCCACTCAGCGGCGAGAGCCCAAACCGCCTCGGGCGTTGGGAGGGGCTGGTCCGGCGTTGCGAGATATGCGGCGGCAACGTGCAGCAACAAGCACTGTTTAGGCTCGTCGCGGACGTCGGCAAATCCCATCCGTTCGCAGGCCTCCGGGGAGAGGGGAAGCTGGTCCTGGTAGTCGTACATGGCCCAGTGACCGACGCCCTTCCAGGTGAGCGTTCCGGCCCCGATGGAGGAATTCCACGTAAGGCCCGACAGCTGCACCAGTGGGGACTCGCCGGCCTTGCGGTGAACGCCGCGCTCCTCAAGGAGGTGGGCAGCCTCTTCAGACAGCTCTGGTCCACCCAGGGATACGGCTTCCTCTAACAGGTGCGTAACATCCTCAAGTTCAGGGGCACGGCCCGTTTCCTCGCGGAGGCGTAGAAGGCGATTGCGCAGGTAGACGCCCACCAATCCAGGGGGATACGGCCCCAGGGCGGGCTCCGCAGCGTCAACGACTCGCATGGCGTCCGCTCGCGCTGACTTCTCAAACTTTGAACTAGGGCAGGTAAGAGTAGCGGCGGCAGCGTCAACGTCGTGCCACCAGTTGTTGCCTTCGTCTTTGAGAAGTGCGCCAAGGGTTTCTTCACGGTCGGTGGGCAGGACAGTGTCCAAATCTGCCACCACATGTCCTGTCTGTTCGGGTACTCGTTCCCCCGCCCGAGAGGCGCGGTCAGCGTTGCCCGGGCCCGCAGCTTGATTGGTCCTCTGGGTGGCCGAAACTTTGGCCTTGGCGGCAGCGATACCTTCCTGCTTGGCAGCGGCGGCTTTCGCAGCTTGCTCCGCCCGAACCCGGGTAAACTCACGGTCGACTTCGTCCCCCGTTTTGGCCTTAGAGCCCTTAAGGCCCCCTCGGCGCAGCAACTGGAGCTGGACCGTGTAATCCAGTGTCGTCCACTTGGGAGCGGCCTTGTGTGAGTGGGGGCAGCCGTTACCCTTGTTACACCCGCGATGTGTCAGGAAGTCCCAGCAGAGGTATTGGCCCTGTTGGTCTTTCGGCCGGTGGTCCAGGGACCGGGCCGCTTCCTTGGGTGTGAGGCTAGGACCGAGAAGTTTCGGTGGTGCGGCTTTATCTGCCGCTTCGCCACCAGCTCGACCCCCCTTTGGGGGTGGAGGTACACCGGGCTCGGTTCGAGCCTCGGTGGCATCCCCTTCTCCAGCAGCCCGACCACCGGTGTTGCCCTTCTTCTGTGCGCCGGCCCAACACGCGCGGGAGAGTTGGCGCTGCATTCGCGGCAACATATCGGTGCAGAAGTATTGGGTATCGTCGTCAAGGCGAAAGGTACCCGGCAGTTGGAGCCAGGGTTGCCCGTCTGGGCCAGGGGACAAGGCGAAGAACTTTAGTCTGGCGAACGTAGGAGTCTCGTCCTGCATGGCTCTGCGGATGCGGCGATCCAACTCCCGTGCTTCTTCGCAGAAACGGGCCCAAAGTTCTTCCCATGCACCGTAGACTGCTGACGCCGACCAGGCGTAGCCATGTTGTTCCCCTAAGCGAAGCAGATGTGAAGCTGCCTTTTCGAGCACGGGGTAATATTCTTCGCCAAAGAGACAGGCGAAGGCCCAAGACTGGCGGAGGGCGGCTCTGAACCATGAGGTCAACGTGTTAGGGTACCGGCCCTTACGTTCAAGTTTGAGGTCGGGTGAGCCCCCGTAGTTGTCGAAATCTTCCTCCGAGGTGAGTGGAAAATCTCCGGCCGAGAGGCAGTACTCCGGCAGAGTGTTGAGCGTTTTCCCTCCCAGTTGCAGGGCCGCAAATCCGTAGCTGTGCCGGTTTTGAATGTTGCAACTGCAAGGGAACTCGATCTTCCGCAACTGAGGTCTCGCTTGCGTCCCGGCGATGCGAAGTGCATGAAAGAGTTCCTTTCCTACACAGTGGGTTGTTTGAAGATAGGTGAGATAGGTGAGATACTATCCAGGTTATAAACCATTTATAAGTGACTTAGGCATGGTCTAACTCGTTTCTATCTCTATCTCAAGATACTATCTTCGACGGAAGATGGCAAGAGATAAAAGACTTAGAACGGACTTAGAAAAGATAGCTGCGCCAACAGGGTGAATAAGTAGTGTATGGCCAGAAGAGAAAGAAAAAGATAAACAAAGATAAAAACAGATAAAAAAAGATAAAAAAAGATAGGAAAAGATAAAAAAAAATAAAACAGAGATAGCAGGAGTATCAACAGACGGTGCTTTGACGAGTCCGTGCATGTAGTTTTTTTCGTGCACCTTCCGCGAGGCTTGAAGAGGCAATGCGAGACCAGACTGCACGATCCCAGAAGAAATGCTCTGATTGGCGTTTCTATACTGGCCGGCACAGCTTACGAAGTGCACGTCCTTTCTGCACACGTGGAAAACGCCGAGCCCTTCTTTGAGGCCAAAAACCCGCTGGAGCTTGCACACATCCTTCCTAAACCCAGAAGGCTTATGCCCGAAGCCTTGAATCTTGAAGCGGAAGTGAAACAGATTGCAAGACACTCTCTTGCAGCTGTCCGCTGTGCCTGTATCGGGGGGTCCCGCCAGCAGCAGCAGCAGCAGCCTACTAGGTCTCAGAATCTGCCAGAGGCAAAGACCTTCTGGCCTCCAGGGTTGAGGCCCAGATGAGGCACTACACGCACTACCCTGCACTACCCGGCCCCAGCTGGCCCAGATTCGTAGAGGGCTCCAGGCACTACTCTCCTTCAGGCTCCCAAGGCCCAGGGGCGCACTACACCACACTACCTTCCGCCAGGGTCCCCAATAGGGTCCAGCAGCTCTTCTTCACTGCTTGGTCTGTGTGGCTCAAGTCCCGGCAGCAGCGTCTATAGGTCTTGTCCCCCAGCAGCTCAGACTCCTGCCGTGCCGGCCAAGCATGGCCGCTACAGACCCGAGCACTCGGGATTGCCATCGTAGGTATAAGTACCTGAAATCAAGCCCTTCCTATCTTTCACAGGAGACGCAGCTGAATGCTGAGCAAGCTGGCGAGGAAACTGCCACCCAGTTGCTGGGCCTTGCGCCCGACGCTGATGCGCTTCCGGCTGCAAGCCTGCCTTCCGAAGCTCTGGCGGCAGGAGCTGAGGCAGTCCCTGGTGCACGGCTGCAGCTGCAGCTCACTCAGCCTTGCGGAAAGTGCCGCAAAGTTTGACGTGTTTGTGGTTTCCATGTTCGGTATCTTTTGAGCCTACTGGTTTTCCTTAAATCAGATAAAAAAAGATAGAAAAAGATAAAAAATGATAAAGAAAGATAGAAAAAGATAGAAAAAGATACTAAAAAATAAAACAGATTTAACTTATCTCACTTTTATCTTTTTTTATCTCTCCCTTCTCTTTCTTTCTCACCTAAGTCAAACAACCCACTGTGTACCACGCCGGGGCAGAGTGTGACGCTCAGGGAGTCTCAGCCCCGGAGCAGGAAAACTAGCCTTTCCTCGAGGCGCCCAATCGATGCCAGTTTACCTCGCTCCTGTGCGAGGGCGTCTTCCTTCGAGGTCAGGCTTTTGGCTATCGCCTGGAGGGCTTTAGTCGTCTCGTCTGCCGCGGGTGCCTCTGCATCCGTGAAGGCTCCTGCCCGGAAAGCCCTGGTGGCCTGGGCCAGCGCGTCTACTGCGTCAGTTCTACCCCCAGCTCCCCCTGCCCCGGGGTTTGGCCTAAATAACGCCTGAGCCGTTGGTCGGTGATCCGGGGCCGGGGCAGCCCACGGACGATCCGGGGCTGGAGCAGCCCACGGACTTGTCCTGCTCTGGTGGTAAGAAGGAGGGCCCGGGTCCGAAGCGGACCACGGGTAGGAACCTCCTCCTGGCTGCCCGTCTGGCGAGGCCTGCGGTTGGGCTAGAATTTGCCGGCCTCGGCCGGTAGTTCACTGGTGAGTCGCAAGCAATGCCTCCGTGCCAGTTCTCGGAGACGTCTTTGTCTCTCTGACGGGGTCCGGCCGTGCACCGCTGACACCTCGACTGCTGAGTCGTGGCCCTTCCCTTGGAGCCTCGCTTCCATATACGCGAACAGGGCCTGGCTGTCGTCTGGTGCCTCGGTTCTGGAGGTGCTCCTGTCCGGTCCACCCGAAGTCGGGCCGGGCATCGCGCCCCTTTGCTTGAGGAATATAGCCCTTTTTCGAAGATCTTCATCTGGTATCCCCGCGATCTCCTCCCAGGTCAACCCTGTGAGTACCTGATCCTCGACCGAAACATCACCTCCAGGAAAGGGGGCAACTGAGGTGGCCCCGTCCAAACGCGGGGGAGAGGAAATCCCTCGGAGTTCTGCTGCCTCCGTCTGCGTTCCGCGCTTGGGTGTGACATCTTGTGAATGCGGCCGGGCGCGCTCCGCGCCACGGCTGATTGACCTCTTTCTGGCTTCCTGAGGGCCACGTGACCGAGAAGCGAAGTTTCCCGGCTTGGGGGTTGGGCCTCGTTCTTCCTTGCTGGCGTGCAGTCTGCAAAGTTTGACCCCTCCCTTTACGGTCTGGGCGACCTTCCCACAGCCCTCGACCGAGCAAGCTCTTCGGGTTTTCGAAAGAGCGTAGCTCTCTTGGTGGCGGGCGCATAGCTGGCAGCTAGCTTGCAGTCCATCCCAATGTAGTTCCCCAATACTTTGCATGCCGTCATCGTTGAGAAGCTTGACCCACGAGCACGCGGCGTCTTTGCAGCGCTCTTTGCTGAGCCTTTTCGTCTGCGTGCCCTCTTTCCAGGCAATCGCATTCCTCCGATTCGGTTTCTGACAAATCGTGGCGAGGGGTGCGCCCTTCTTCCTCACCCGGGCGCGGAGCGCGCCTCGAGTGCTTCGCTCCGCCGCAACAGCACCAGGAGGCGATCCAACGCCCACATGCGCGCCCGGTGCCCCAAAGTCCCGTGACTCCTTGTAGGGCCATGAACTTGGACGCGTTGAGGGCCCGACACATGGGTCCCCTGCCAGACAGCTCGTTCAGGTCGACGTCCACGCTCTGGGGGACCACACTACTGGCCGTGATGTGCAGCTCTGCTGCTTCAGGCGAAGTGCATGGTTCTACCGAGCACAGGTGTACAACACACTGCGCTCGCTCCAAACACCTTCTCCAGTAGCGGTGGGAAGCCCCGTGTACACTGTCACACCGGCAAAGGAACCCATGACGGTTGGTGCGTCCCCGTACGGCTCCGTGTCGCAAGCGGGCCACGGCAACCCCGTCGGTTACGAGAAGATCGTACGGGAGCTGTTGTTCACCTCTCCCTCTTACTTGATCTTGAACGTAAGTGACCGACCAGGGATGCTCACCCTGGGGTCCTGTCCATCTAACGTGGTATGGGTTTTCGCCGTGCCCCCTCAGCACGGCCTCCCAGGTTCCTCGGCCCGCCACGTACTGGAGCAGCGCCCCAATGACGACGATGATGGGCCTGACGACCCACGCATAGGTCCAATAGGTAAGTTGTAACATACCCAGCAGGATGGTGATGGTGGCCAGCCAATAGGTCCACCTTGCAGCGAGCCCAATGGAGGCACACAGGGTGCCGCACCAGGTCAGCCCCCCTTCCCATATCTCCCACAGTACTCCGGCCAAGATCCGGAAGTACCAGCGTCGATAATGGGCATCTTCAGCTTGGGGCGTGCTGGCTTTTGGTTCGGTGGAACCTTCCCAGGACCAATCGAACCACCAGTACGATGCTCCCGGGCTCGGTTCCGATCCACGGGTACTGAAAGGCTCGTGCCCTTCTGTAGGGCACGAACCTGCTCCTTCTTTGTCGCACGTTTGGTTTTCGCTACCCACTGCGAAAGGCCATAGCCCCCCGAGCGGGCGCACCAGTGCGCCGATCAACAGCAGGGCGACTCTCATTGTCACCCTTGAGCCGAGAGCCTACGGAGGTGAAACACTACGCACGCAGCGCTAAGCTACCACTATGCTTATGTGCTTTTTGGGTCCCTAACTTGGGGTGTGGAGTCTACGGTTCTCAAGGTCTACGGTTAAAGGTTTAGGCTTTAATGTCTGGGGTCCTCGGGTCTCGGGTCCAGGGTTCATTGAGGGCTTTAGGGTTTTAGCGTTTAGGGTTTCTGCAGGGGCGCTAAAAGACCTTTAGCGTGTTCAGGGTGTAGGGTCTTAAGAGCACCTGGTGCCTCGCATGGCATCTCGATCTTGATGGGGAGTAGAGGCTCAGAGAGAGGGGGTTTTGGGGGCTTGGAGGTTTGGAGCTCTGCCCCAAAGACTCCAAGTAAACAAATACTACCTACTTTGTGGTCTAAAGTCTATAAATCGTACCTACTTTGGGTTCTTTGGAGTCCTGGGGTACGAGGCCCTGCAACGCCTGCACTTGGGCCTTGGGGTTCAGAGAAGTTAGCCTGTTTACAAGTTAGAGCTTCGGGTTCTGGGGCTTTCGGCGAAAGGCATATATATATATATTATATAACCCTAAACCTTAGAAGCTGCCCCCACTCTGTAACAGTGACTATAAGGATTATCTTAGGGCCCTATGATATTCCTATTATACCACTATTACAGGGTGCGGGCCCCTTCTAACCTAAACCGTAAATGCCCGAACGCCCCAAGCACTGAACCCCAAAACAAACCCCGAACTCCAAGCCCCAAATCTAAAGACCCAAACCCAAAACCCCATGCCCTGGAGCCCCGAACAACCCTAAACCCTAAACCCTAAACCCTAAATCCCTAAACCCTAATCCCTAAACCCTAAATCCCTAAACCCTAAACCGGAGAGGTTACGAGAGAGCCAAGCGACCGGTGTGAGCACCCAGGTAATCGCCTTCTTCGCGACCTCCACCAACTCATCCAGGCTGCCTCGGCTTTAGAGCTTTGGACTTAGGGTTCAGGGATTTAGGGTTTAGGGTTTAGGGCTTAGGGTTTAGGGCTGAGGGTTTAGGGTTTAGGGCTTAGGATTTAGGGCCTCGGCTTTACTTAAAGGATCATGGGACTTAGTACCTTTATTGGGTTCCTTAAAAGGTTCCTTAAAGGGTTCCTTAAAGGGTTCCTTAAAGGGATCTATAAGGGATCTATGGGGGGTTTAGGGTACTTAAAGGATCACGGGACTTAGTAGCTAGGGTTCCTTAAAGGGTCCCTTATCTATAGGGGCTCTATTATAAGAGGGGTTTTCGGTTCTACTTAAAGGATCATGGGACTTAGTAACTAGGGTTATTATTGGGGTAGTTATACTTATAACCCCAATTAGGGTACATATAACCTTACTTACTAAGTCCCATGATCCTCCAAGTAGGCTTTGGACTTAGGGTTTAGGGTTTAGGGCTGAGGGTTTAGGGCTTTCGGGCTTAGGATTTAGCGCTTAGGGCTTAGGATTTAGTGTTTAGAGCTCAGGATTTAGGGTTCAGGGTCTAGGGCTTAGGACGTAAGATGTCGGGTTTAGGATTTAGAGTTTAGGGCTTAGGATTGAAGGTTTACAGTAGCAGCCAACAAGTTGGAAAACCAATGGCCTCAATCCTCAAGAGTAATGTATAGGGATTCCCAGCCCGATTTGTCCTTCATCCGGTTTCCAGCTTTTGGGAGTCCCCAGACATTATAGTACCCTTATAGATCCTTTATAGTAGCCCCTATAGACCCCTTTAGAAGGAGCCCTTTAAAGGGAACCCTGCTGTACTATAGAGCCATGTCAGAATTTTGGATTTCACGACGCGTTTTTCAGACTTGATCGTAAGCTTATTGATGCCTTCAGGGGGCTACCACCTGTGCCTAGACCTGCTTTGCTTAAACCACAAACCCTTAAACCCTAACCCAAACCCTAACCCCGTGCACCCTAAACTCTGAAAGCTTAAAACAATCAAACGGGATCTTATGCTACATGTTCTGTGCTGGGTAAGGGTTGAGGGTTCAGGCCCTAAATCGCTAACCCTAATCCTCCACTGGGGAACGTCAACACGGCTCCTTTATGGGAAGTTCTCTAGATTAGGGTCCCGTTGCACAAGGATCCTAAAAGGGACCCCAATTTAGGGACCTTAATTAATAAACCCTAAACCCTAAAAGGTACCCTAATTTAGAGAACTACCCACACAACCCTAAATTTAGAGAAATAATACTCATATCAGCCGAAACCCTAAACCCGTCAACCCTAATAAGGGACCATAATTTCAAGAGCTACCCATATCACCCGAAACCCTAAACCCCGTAAACCCTACAAAGGGACCTTAATTTAGAGAACAATCCATATAACCCTGAAAAGGACCCTAATTTAGAGAACTACCCATAACCCTAAATCCCTAAACCGAAAAAGAGACCCGAATTTAGAGAACTACCCGAATCCTCCTAAACCATAAACCCCTAAACCTAAAGAGGGGCCCTAATTTAGGGAACTGCCCATATCGCCTTCAAAAGGTACCCTAATTTAGAGAGCTACCCTAAGGGTTCCTTTCAGGGCTCCTTTAAAGGGTTCCTTTACAGCGAACCCGCCCTTTTGTAGAACCGTTCATGGGTGTCCACCAGTACCCCGAAAATTGAAAAGGTTAAAGGTTACCGACTCTGCTACTGGGCCAAACCCGAACAGGGGACCGTAATTTGGAGAACTTCGGTTGATGATAGAAATCCTGCATTACCTTAAGGACCCTAGACTGTGGGAATTATGGTAGATTCCTTGCGATGGGTCATGCAGAAGTCTATCATCAACCGTATCTCTTTCTGGGTGCAGTTCCAGGGACGGTTCGGATGCGTCTTGCGCAGGGTGAAGACCAGCGAGCTGAGAAGCTCGGGGTGGTAACCTGGGTTCTATTTTGAGGGCTCCCAAAATATATGGGTGGCTGTCAATATTAGGAATTTTCCTAGAGTCTCCCTTGTAGTTCCCTTTTTTGGTTAACCAGTTGTATGGTTAGGATCCTATAATAGTGATTTTGGTTAACCAAGAAAAGGAACTACGATGGAGCCTGGGTTCTATTTTGAGGCTCCCAAAAATAGTTGCTGAGTTCAAAAGCCCCCAAAAGTGTACACTTTCATTTATAGTGGGTCATATTCTCCCAAAAAATGCATATAAAGTGTATCCACTCAGCTACTACGCAAGAGTTGGTTTAGGGTGTGGAGCGTGGGGTTTAGGGGTTCGGAGTGTAGGGTTTGGGATTTAGGGGTATGTACAACCTCTAGGAGGTTGTGGGGTTCAGGTTCGAGGGCTTTGGGTTTGAGATTTAGGCTTCAGGGATTGGGGTTTAGGGTTTCCGGATGGTTTAGCGCTTCCTGTTCAATTTTTAGGATTTCTAGGCTCAGGACTGAGAGCTTAGATTATAAGGGTTTATGGTTCGCGCATGCAGTGCATGGCGTGGAGCGTAAAGACTAACATGGCGCATACTTGGGTTGCGCGTGCCGTACAAAACCCAGAGGAGCACCGAACACCCCATGAAATCTGCCTACCTTCCTATCGAACCTTCGTGCCCCAAAGCCCCCAGAAGCAAGGACACAAATCCTAAATCCCAAATCCCCAAAAGCTGGGCAAGACGCGTAAACCTCTGCATAGAGATCCTTCATAGAGCCCCTCCCCGGCATTAAGAAGCCGAAGTAAGAGACCCTACTTGAAGGATCGCGGGAAAAAGCAAGTAGGGTTGTAACTACCGCAGTTGGGATTGTAGGTAGGTATAAGTATACTTATCCTAATAATATCCCTAGTTGCCAAGCCCTACGGTCCTTTCAGTAAGTAAGAAACATCTAAACCCTAAGCCCTTAAAGCAAGTAAGAGACCCTGAACCCGATCAGCCCCGAAGTCGTAGAAGTCCTAAGTAGGCAGTTGTCAAAATTATGGCACCTTTTTAGGTACCCTAAATATTAGGTGTCGTAGTAAAAATAGGGACTCAAGAAGGGACCCTAATTTTGACAACCACCTAAGTCACAACAGGCAGACTGGGGCTCCCGACCAGCGATGGGCCGGTGAGAGGCAGTGTTCAGCCTCGGTTCTCCCGGTTATGGGCTTTAGGGGTTTGGGCTTTAGGGTTTTGGGTCTGGGTTTTGGGATTCAGGGTGCAGGTTTAGGGTTTAGGGTTCAGGGTGCAGGTTTAAGGGCTTAGGGCTCAGGGTGTTGAGATGCCCGTGTTGCAGATGATGATGCAGATGAGAAGGAGAGCTATATAGTTGTGTAGACAGTAGTTGTACACATGTGGGTGGCTGTCAATATTAGGGTCCCTTTTGGGGTCCTTATTATGGCACGGCACCTAATATTTAGGGTGCCCAAAAAGGGATCCTAATCTTGACAACTACCCATGTCTATCTGCGCTACGTAGACCAGAGCACCATCAAAGCCCCGTATAACCCCAAACCCTAGTCTGACAAGAAAAGGGCACTAAGGCTTCGTGATAAGGGTTTCTGGTTGAAGAAACTGGAAACTAGCTTTCGTGTGCTTTTGAGCTGGCATTGGCGAATCCTGTTAGGTGCAGAACTGGCTCTCAACCCAACCAGACCTCAAGGAACTTCTTGAAAGCCCACATTGGCACACGGAACTGGCCTTATTGCAACCAAAGGATTTCCTTCGTCCGAAAGGTCCGTTGAGAGTAAAAGGACGAAGCCATGCAAAATGAAGAAATAGCAGCCCATCCAACCCAACTAAAGCCACACACACCCCATGATGTTCTTGGCAATTACCACATCCGTAAGTAAAGTGCACTAACAAAGTGTCGAACCTGGTCCCGAATGTGAAAAATGGGAGTTTCCGAAAATAGGGGACCCCAATATAGTACCCTAAATAGTAGGATATATTATAAGGGACCCCGAATAAGGTACCCCTAAATAATTCTCGGAAACTCCCATATCAACTCCACTCCAATCAATCCCAGGTACATCGTCCCTGACGCTGTCGGAGCCCGGGAAGCCTCCTCAAGAGCATCCTCGTCCTGGGGGTACATTACGTGCTGTTTAGGGCTTAGGGCTTTGAGGGTTTGGGGGTGTCCATAGGAGGTGTGGTATGGCAAGCAATGACGATGATGATGGTGATGGTGTTGATCAGAACGTTCATCACAATAGTGGAGGTGTTGATGATGCTGCTGCAGTTAACTTATGATGGTGGTGATGATGATCACGGTGTTGATAAGTCGGACATGAAGATGAAGGCGATTATCACGATGATCATGGTGCTGGTGATGTTGGCGATGACGCTGGTGATGGTGGCAGTCGTAGTCCTGAAGATGATGGTGCTGTTCATGACATTGGAAGCATGACATTGGCAGTGATACTTCATGTAGTACCTATGGCATCTGACAGGCGGTCAGTTCCTTTTCGCCGCTGGTATGACGATCGAAGCGGTAGCAGGTTCTGGAAGGATTGTCATCATTTTGTGATCCTAAGACCCCGTCACGGTCTTCGGGTTTGGGATACAACAAAACGGCAGTTCGGGTTCAGGACATCTTGGCCAAGTTTTGAGGCATGTTAGGTCATCTCAGGCCTGAACTTAACAGAGTGCAGCTAGAGTTTAAAGGGCACACCCCGAAACCAACGAAAGCCACACAAGGAAAGGGCATATTGAGACAAGCACACCATCGAACTCTGGTCCCCTTTCTTTGTCCTTCAAGGTCTTGCCGGCATTCATAAGCCTCGGAGGCTCAAACGGCATGCACCCCAATCCCAAGCCCTAAACCCGAAGCTCTCTGCTACTAGCGCCTAGCCCTCCCGCCCAATCGTAAAACCCACTACCTAGTAGAAGATTTACAGTGGCCTGGAGTGCTTCTTTGGTTGCGTTCAGGGCATTTTGGGCATAAGGGGTTATGCTTCCTCATTTTGGGCTTTCGGGTCTAAGTATGGGGCTATGGATCTCGTTCTCAAAGGGCTGCTAGTTGCATTTTGAGGCTAAAGCTCAGTGCTGTCTTCCGTGGCCCAAGCAGAATACGATTGGACTTCTAGTCGTGCGAGGGAGCTACATAAAGAATAGCCCGCAAGCTCTTAGTTCAAAGGCTTTCTGCTCAAACAGTGAGCGTGCTTCTGAAGTAAACCTCTCAACCCTAAACCCTAAACCCTAAATCCTAATCCCTAAACCCCAGAAGCCGAATCCCCTAAACTCCGTAGTTACAACCCAGCCCGAAAGCCCTGAAGAGACCCGCAGGCCTGCAGATCTGCAAGCCCTACCTAGAGTCTCCATTGTAGTTCCTTCTTTTGGTGAACCAAAATCTCTATTATAGGGTCCTAACCCTAGAACTTGTTAACCAAAAAAGGAACTACAATGGAGACTCTAGGTAGAACTTGCTAGGACTCCCAAAGCCCGCAAAGCCACAAAAACGGGCTTGCCCCGAAATGGTTTTAGGGTTTGTAGGGTTGAGAGACTCTTTAGCCCACCACCTTACAAGATGCCAAAGGACCCTGTATAAACCCCCAAAGTCAAGGGGCTCGTTGAGGGTCACCCAGAATTTCGTCACCCTGGCCAGCAAAGCTTCGTCGGACTTGGACATCAAGTCCTCAAGAACTTGGCGCTTTCGGCCTGTAGGGGTTTGGGTTGGTACTTAGTTGAGGGCTTGGGCGCTTAAGGTTTGCAGTTTGGATTAAGATGTAGAGATTGTGGTTGTGGTCTAACATGGCTTTAAGTCAATTTCATGGCTTGGTATCGTGTGGGGCTCGAAACAGGTGGAGTGACAAGCTTCAGTATGTTTCATATAAAGCTGCTGCAAGGCTGTACAATTTTCACACTTTGGCTTTCATTGGATTACATGCGGCTTTTGGCGGCTTTAGACGGGTGGCTTGGGCTTGTGCCCGGGCCACATGTCTAGGGTTTGGGTTTAAGGTCTAGAAGGGACTGAGCGTCGAGCCACCAAACCAGAAACACTTCAAAGGATCACGGGACTTGATAGCTAGATATATTAAGGGTAACTATACTTATTGCAGCTACTTATAACCCCAATCAAAAGGTACTTATAACTTGACTTACTAAGTCCCACGATCCTCCAAGTAACTGCTGACTGCTCAGTCCGACCAAGACCTTGTGTCCAGCAGGCCCTTTGACTAAAATCCTACAGCTCAATCACCCCAAAGCATCTGGAGGCCCCAAACAGTGGCATGAAGGTGGATAGCATTAAGGACCCCTTATATGAGTACTCTGATTTTGGGAATACCCCACCTAATTACCTTCATCCCACCGGGCCCCTTGAGACCTAGATCACTGAAAAAACTCACGCAAAAGCTCCACTACGCTGAGAAGCCTTGATGTGCCCTCCCATACTCCCATCCCCTTAACCTGCGCGTAAATGGGTGGTTGTCAAAATTAAGGTCGCTTTTTTGGGTCCCTATTACAATACGGCACCTATTGTTTAGGGTACCCAAAAGGGGACCCTAATTTTGACAACTACCCAAATGGTAAACCCCTAAACCCTAGACAACCTAAACCCCTTATAACCCCTCGGCCCTATGTCCTTTCGCAGGAAGATCTGCTTCTCGAAGCGGTTGAGGAGAGGCGGTGCTAGCCGGAAGTAGGCATCGCCTGAGCCACCGGGAAAACGAGACAGGATTTAGGCTAGGTCCTAGCGGCTAGGTTGCAGTGAACATGGGTGAACAGCCGAATAGACACTCAAAAACAGCTTCACGCATAGACTGATGCACAGACAGGTAGGTGGCTACTTGGACAAATTACGGAGACACATATCGCAGTCAGAAGCAGCCTGCGCCCATACAATAAAAATGGTCGTACACACTGCAAGAACCGCACGAACCGTCTTACGATACTGACCAAACCTGCACACAAACAAATACAACCCCCAAACAAGACCTCAACACCCGGGCCGAAGCACTGATCTCTGTGATGACGATCACGCGGAAGAGATGATGAATCGGGCACTGCTTAGCTTTGGAGCCGTGGGCAATGCGAACCTGAGCCGAGCTGGAGCATTTTCTGGGGACATGGGGTACTTGGAGGTTCATGAGTAGTTCTAAACTGAGGTTATAAGTAGTTGCCAAGCTTAAAACCCATATTAGGGGACATACAACCCTAAACCCTAAACCCCTAAACCCTAAACCCTAAAACCTACCCATGAACCTGCAAGTAGAGAGTTTCAGGCCTGATGAGGCGTGAAGCTAGCAGGCCTGTATCCCTGAACCCCTAAAAGCCCACCCCCCCCCCAAAAAAAAAAAAAAAAAAAAAAAACTATAACTTACCCAAAACCTAAACCCTAGATTGCCAACCTTCAGCCCTAAAGTGGCCCTAAAGTCCTAAACCAGAAGGGCTTGCGAACCCTATAACCCCCTGAATCCTAAATCCTGTACAGCCTAAGCCCTCAATCCTGTAGATCCTAAACCTTAAGTTGTGCGTTCCTATGGTGAAAGTCTGACCTAAGCGGCCGTTTGGGATCCCCAAACCCAGGTCTTATAGCCCCTTTTTAGGGTTTAGGGTTTAGGGTTTCTAGAACTGAGGGTTCTGAAACACCTCCGTCACCTAAACGCACAAAGCTTCAACTAGAAGCCGTATGAACTCCAGCCTCAGCACTCTCAGTACCTAGATCTTCAAAAAGACGCTTGAGCTTACGAGGAAACATAGAGAACTTAATGATCATAGTAGGTGCTGGGCTGTATGTAATGCTGTTGCGTTCAGGAGCCCAAAGAAGCAGCATTGCCGACTGCCCAGGCTTCTATATTCAATTCTCTGGAAATCAGTCTCTTACCTGAATCCTATCGCGACCTTTGCTGACCCCTAGTTGGAGGTTCATGGATAGCTCTATGTGGGGGTTTAAGTCGACAAGTACAGTATAGTACAGTTAATCATACGTTATAAACCACATTAGGGGACTTATAATCCCGTTTCCAGCTCGTAGTCGGAAGTCTGTACAAAACTGGATGTGGTAGCCCACAGTAGGGTTCAGCCTACTTTGGTACAAAGCGCTTTGCATTGACAAAACTGGAAGCTGTCTCAGTCTCCTGGACACTTCAACGCATCGAGATATCCTGCCTTGAGAGAATCCCGCTACGGCCTGGCCTGATCTGATGTTGAAACCGGATGAGCTTGGAACACCTCTCGGCTTTACAGCTGACAGAAATTATTTGGATCAAAAATAGAATCATCACACCAGTAGCAGAATCAGGATGCTAGGCCGGAAGTCATGTGCCATGGCAGCAGTCATCGCTACCAGCCACAGCTCGACATCTAAAGCACCGAATTGAGCAGAGTCGTGTCTAGATCGAGTCGCAGCAGCCTAGGCGTGTGCCATCAGGAGTCGGGCAGCAAGCGCCTGTGATGTTGAGAGCCACGCAGGAAGGAAAGGATGAGCATTCCGTCCCAGCAGCGATCTTCGGCGCAGCGACCACTGGCGGAAATCCCATGCAGCAACCAAGCGCCACGTTATCATCGTTGGGGCAGCAATTCCCCTCCTCGATTCCGTGAGCAACACAGGCGGGGTACTTGGCACATGTCGTGCCGTTGATGCCAGGAACTACCAAGGGTGCCACAGTGGGAACTGGAGCAAGTGTAGGAGTCTCAACACTAGCCGTCTCCTCCCCATCTTCAACGTCAATGTCAACATCGGTCTCCACAGCTGCCGGCTTCTCCCCGCAGTATGGTGGTCCGGATACTGTCTCGGCGTGCTTCTCCGGGGCAGGTGAAGCAACTGATGACTCATCCGTCAACAGGCAGCCTCCATCAGGCCAGAAGGTGAAGTGCGCACACCCGTCCACAGAGAAGCAACGCTGTTGGCAGGCCTCCTGCGTCATCTCGCTGGTCCTTTCCGTTCCAGCCATCTTGATCGGGCTGCTGTAGTAGGTGGAAGCCTCGAAGCAGTCTGCCGTGGCATCCAAGACGACGAAAGCACCCGACTTGCTGCGGAGGCCACGGGCTCCGCGTGCCAAGATGCCCACAATGCCCACTACCAAAAGCCCCACGAAGCCCAGCGCCAAGGCCACCCGCCGCGGAAACGTGAAGCTGCTGGCCTCCTTGCGCTGCTCCTCCAGCAGGAGCTCTACATCCGAACCGGCGCTAGCCATGACTGCGAGATGCAAGACCAAGAATACTCTGCACGATTCTCCTTAAGCCCTGTGGCTGTGATGGGCGCTCATGCCGGTGCCCCGACTGCTCAACGGGCAGTTTTAGGTGACAGCGTCTGTGCGACATCCTTAGAATGCCAAACTTGCATTCGAGGAGAGAAACTCCGAACCGAAAATCCACACACCTGAACACAATATTGGTATGTTCTCTTGAGTTCCATGTGAGTTCAGTTTGAAGATTGCTTACAGCGCGAGCTCGCACATGCTTGCAAACGGTGTAGAAGCCTTCGAACCTTAAACCCTCCACCCCTTTCAGCTTTCGAAGCCGCAACGCCCAGGTTTTGAAATCCTAAACGCCGCACCTCCACGTTCCTTCCCGAAAGACCTGTGAAACGAAGCCGAACATGGGGAAAAGCTGAGGCTTTTGCGTAGCGCTGTCCTGCATACTCCATGTAGTGCTGGTTCAGCAGGTCATACAGCGACCTCGGCGTTTTGGCTTGCTTTCGTTGACTTGTAGTGCAGGGGCCTCAATACCTAGAATAGGCTTCTGCGGTACAATAACTATAATAAGGAGCCCCCCAAAATAATATAGGTAAGTATGCAAGCCCCTATCTTACGAAGCTTTAGCTTTTGGGGTCAAGGGTCTGCGGCCAGCCATGGGATTGCACGTTGTGACTTTTCGCTTTGCGGCCGACAGTGTGGATGTTAGAGATTTTGCGGCTCCGAAAACCTTTGTAGTCTAAGTGGATTAAGAGATGTTGCTGCAGTGATTACGATGTTACGTCGAGTCACGAGTCAGTCTTCAAAACTTTGCTAGCGACTTAGTTTATAGTATCATAAGTGGCATGGGTAGCAGTGTCTTACTAGTAGTATGCTTTGTACTACTGTTCTTATGGTTGCTACGACGACGACGACTACTACCACTGCTACTGGACCTAATATAGGGGCCTTGATATTGAGAAAAGGGTGTTGGGATATATGATACTATGTTTATATTAAGGACCATCAAAATAGTATAGGTAATTGATTCTTAGGCCCCATATATGAACCCCAAACTTCAGGAATTGTTGCTGCTGCGAGTACGGGATTTCCTTTTTGAACAATTGGGGCTTGGGAGGCTAAGACTCAGACTTCTATGCAGAGTCTCGGGCCCAGAGGCTTTTTGAATGCATTGTCAGAGCTTGACATCCTAAGCAGAAAAGTCCAGTCTACCTAGAGTCTCCACTGTAGTTCCTTTTTGGGGTTACCTTTTAGGATCCTTAATATAAAATTGGTTAAACCAAAAGAAGGAACTAGAATGGAGACTATAGGTATTATTGAACAGGACATCCACGGAATATGCTCGGGTCTGAACTCGTACAGCGAATCGCAGTGCACCATGACCAGAGAAATCGGCTGCTGCATGAAGCTCTTGATACCTGCGGTTTAGGGTTTAGGGCCCGCGCTGATGGAGATAACCGTGGTACGTGTCATTTGGTCATGGCGATGATCTCCAGTGATGGTGGTCTGGGTCCCTACTCACTCAGGATTCACCACAACCGTGTATGGAAACCCGAGTCTGTGTCACCCTCAACCGACCAACAGATCGGCTGAACCCTGAACCCTAATCGGTGCAATGCCAACGACTCTAATCCTGCTCTAGATCGTGGCTGTGGGATGGGTCTTGCCGACGCGCCAGAAATGAGGATGGGTCTTTCCAGGCGAATGCATCGCATGCCAAGTGCTTGTTGCCCAAACTTCGCTGTAACTGTAGCGAAAGCTTGCACTTTAGGTCCAACATTTTCCAAGACTCTAAGACATAATCACTTCCCTCCGCATCTTCCTCAACTAGTTGTCAGACCTATCAACATCACACTATCACTCTCCACCACAGTCTGCTTGCATCCCGGAGGCACGAAATGAGCTTGCATCGTAATCCCCAAAACTACCTATCCCTAGTTCATGTTGGGCACGCTGAAGGTTCATTGCCACGAACATGTCGCTCAGGTCATTCGGGAAGGTGCTGCCAAACATGACCTGCGGTCGGAAGACATAAACCATCAAGCACAACTAGGGAGGTTCTGTATTTTGAGGTAACCATAGACCAATGTAAACTACAGAGCAAATTGTAATCTTTAAGTGCTAGAGCGATTCGTTGGGCTCTCGGGGACGGGCCACGCAACTTACATCTCTACAGAGCAATCTGTAGCGACCGTTCTGATTGCACGAAGGATCATGCCATGTCAATCCCGATAGACCCGAGTCTGGGGCATACTAAACTCTATTCTCTAGCTACGCCTAAGGATTAGTACTCGCGATTGTTCCAGATTCTAATGAGTCTGTATACTATCGGGCCGTATTCTGGATCCCTTACAGAACCCGACGATCCCCTAGTACTAAGGCATGGTATTGGTAATTTGTTTCATCTTTGCGACGGCCACATCTACGGTTTCACCGGCAGCCACGACCTCGAACCCCAGACTCTCGAACCCAAGCCTTACTGCTCTGCTAGGGTTTGGGGTCGAGAGTTGAGGATTACGGCTTTAGGGTTGAGGGCTGAGGCTTTGGCAACTGGCGTTGTGGGTGCCGAGACACCAGACTGGGTGTCTACTGGAACATTCACGGGTAGTTACAAGTAGGGGTCATAGCCTTAAACGCTGGGTTCATAAGCCCCAAAAAACGTACACTTTCAGTTTTATTGCGGGCAATACTATCCCCAAAAGTGTAAAGTGTATCCACTCAGCTACTAAGCAGCCGACATTCGGGGACTTATAACCCCACTTATAACTACCCATGAACCTCTAAGTAGCCCAAAAACTCCGCTACTACCAAACTCCTGACCGAGCTTCTGGCCCAAAGCCGTCGGCTTGGGGTTAAAGTCCCGGCCAATATGCCGTGAACCCGTAAAACCCACTACAAATATCTAAACACCGCCAAAAACCACTAAGAACCCCTAAAAGCGCCTGAAAACCACAACAAATAGAAAAGAACCTAACCCCTCAACTTCCCTAAACCCTAAACCCTTAAACTTTAAACCCTAAAGACAAGCCACAAGGAAGACCCTAGCACATTGCTTCCTTTCACCGAACAGCCTGGGTCAGATCCTGAAGCCTTACTACGAGGGCCTTCATAATTAGACGAGGGTCTTGGGTTTTGGTGCCATTTACACTATAATTATGAGAAGGAACCTCCAAATAGTATTGGTATTTATTTTGGCCCCTGTACTACATATTGCGAAAATAGGGGACGCTAATATAGTACCCTAAGTAGTAGGAGCCTCATTATAAGGAACCCAAAGTAAGGTACTCCAAACTTCGGAAACTCCCATGTAGGGACTACGTTGAGGGACTATGTTCAGGGCTTAGGGTTCAGGGCCAGGGTTTAGAAGAACTTCCTTGAGATTCCCTAACCGGTTCCTTGGAGGGCTTTCTTGAAGGGCTTTCTAGGGGTTTATTGCGTGCTGTAAGGGTTTAGAACGGATTACAAACATTTTTCCTGGAGTGAGTTATAAACATGAGTCTCAGATGCCTCAAAACCCTATCGTGATGATCCATGCGCCCACATTACCTGTCATTTCCCGGTCATGCACTCATCAATGCATTTCTGCAGGTTTCTCTGAGGCGGTTGAAGACAAACTTTGTCAACACACCCAGAAACAGTCATCACATACTGTGAACTGCTGCTTGCCAGTGCACGCCGCGGTGCGTGGGCTTTGCCACTTCTTATTGGCGATCTTGATGTTCAAAGTCGAAGCAACCGCCATCAAGCGAATAAACGTGACTGGGACAGATCCACAGACCTGCCAGTCGCATCAGGCAGACAGAGAAAACGCAGAATGATAACACCCATGCCGCGAAACCGAACAACATGTGCGGGTCGGTCAAGCACGAGTATGTCCTGGTTTGCCACGACTTAACCAATGTCTGCAACTGCAGGTGCAGCGACCTTCCCACGACGAACGCGCTGCTGGCCACTGACACCACATTAATAGCGAGTACACTGCGTGAAGATGACTCGTACGTCAAAGCGATGACGGAAACTTGGAACCAAAGACTCGGAAGAGCTTCTGCAAGTACCTTAGGGACAAAGGACCAAAACCGATCAACCAAAGGATACAAAGCTCCGTTTGTGTCCAGCTCCAGCTCCGCATAGACCAACTTCTCAAAGACTCTGAGTAGGACTAGCAAACCCCCTAGGTCGGCCACGTGTTTCCATTGATACCACAGCTTGTATCTGCACTCGATGCATGTCCCTGCGCCTTCTGTGAATTTGTCGAACAGCCTTTCTGCAGTAACATACTGGTCCTTCTGGTACAAAAACCAGAGCTGACACAGCATGGAGAAAAGAAGTATGGACAGCAGAACACCAGGTAATCCGAGCCCAGCAACCAGCCAACCTAGCAGCGGAATGTAATTCCAAGAAGACTCAAACTTGAGACGGAGATCATCTGTGTACAGGTGGAATGCATTCGCGGCTGCCCAGGCATCCAGAGCGGGATCTATAGCTTCAATCATGCTAAATGGGCAGGCGAGAGCGCCTGACAGGAAACAGCACAGACTATGCGTACTACCGAAGTCTGCAAGAGCATCGATGGAGTGTTGCCATGTGGCCCTACACGGTTGCCGCTCCAGCCACGAAACCAGCATGAACACCAGCCAATACTGGAAGGCCGTGGAGCCAATGAGCACGAAACCCACAGTCACACCGGCGGCAGAACCGTGGCCACTGTAGGCACACAGAAAAATCACAGGTGCACACGCGAACTGTACCAAGGAAACAGCGATACAGTGCATGTATGCCGGCCATAGATCGTCGTCGCTGGCATATTCACCCGGGTGCAGCAAGTTCTGCCACTCGCACGGGTAACCCGTATCTGCCCCATCAGAGTCTGTATCAGACCTACTCGCAGTTGCACGGGCCATGGCAACATGATCCCAAATGCAGGGGGGCTGACATGCACTAGGGCATGGCGTGTTAGAAGTCCCTAAACCCTAAACCCCTTTAACCCCAGACCCTCAGACCCTACAAAACTCAGCCGGAACTCTTTGCTTTTGCCATGCTTTACTGCTTGTTTCGTACATCAGATGTCGAGCTACAAGGCTCAGGGCTTGGGATTTAGGAGCTTAGGGTTTGGGTTTCAGGCTTTAGGCTTTGGGGTGTAAGGTTTGGGGTTTAGGAGTTTAGGGTCTAGGTTCCAGGGTTTAGGGCTCAGGGCTTAAGCTTCAAAGCTTTCGCGGCTCATGTTTGGGCAGTTTGGGCGGCTTAAAGCAGGGTAAGTGCATGGTGGAGAGCTTGTGCAGCTTGTCTGAAATCTAGGGTGTTGGCTTGAACAATAAATGCTGAGAATGATGCAAAGCCGTGAAACCCAAAACGCGGAACTATGGAAGCCATGGAAAGGTTCGCCTGGGCGGGGAGATGCACCTGATGCAACTGTTGAGTCCAGACTTTGCGCTCTAGGATATTGGGGTAGCAGCCAAAACCAACCCTAAACCCTAAACCCCAAAGCCCTGAACAAATGGACAACCAGAAGGCCTAGAGTGCGAAAGGTCGCCACTCATGTAGTCCCTGGCTCCCGGACCATCTAGAAACCGCAGGACCAGAGCCTCCAAAACCCCTTAATTAAGGAATATAACTTAAATCATATTATGGATCCTACTATACTTTAATGGTATATTCCTTAATTAAGGGGTTTTGGAGGCTCTGGGCAGGACCCTCAGAAACACCCTCAAGCTTCCAAAACCCTTGAAACCAGACCGTTGAGTATAAACGTCTGGATATTTCGAAGATGTTTCCGTAACCGTCAAAGGTTGAGGGTGTATAACGTAAAGGTTTCCAGCAATATGGTGTTATTCTTGTGCACGCACGGTATGGGGCATGATTCATAAATTACATACCGTACAGACTTTCGACAAGTCTTCAAATGCTTATTCAGAGCATATGCAGGACATGGGAGCCTCAGAAAAGTAATAAACACAACCAACACTTCCGCACATTAAATAGCAGGCAGCAGGATCCAAAGTTCAAAAGCCCCTTAAGCAGAAGCCCCCCAGTCCCTCCAAGTCGTTCCCCCCAACCCTAAACCGGGACTCTTATAGGGAGCAAAGACAACGGATCCTTTACAAGAGCTCCCGATAAAATACTCGTAAATTGAAAAGGGTCCTCTAAGTCTAAGGCCCATCAAGTAAGCCCTAGGCTACTAGGCCCCAATCTTCTAAACCCTATTAACAGAATCCCCCGACCCCTTCCCTAAATCACCCTTTCAGGCGTTCGAAGCCGCCTCGGCCTTGCTGTGGTTCAACAGCCTTGTGTGACAGGGCATGTTTCAGGGGCTCGGTGGTTGTATAGGGCTGATTCAGGCTTCAGGCCAAGGTTAAAGAACCTTCCCCTTAGGGTTTAGGGTTTAGTGGTTTAGGGTTGTGGGTTTAGGATGTGAGGCTACGAGTAGGGTTTAGGGTTCAGGGGTTCATAAGGGTCGGGGCCTGTCGGGCTTCTTATGGTTTTGTAACTTGCGATTTGTGCCTGAAGTCTCCATGGCTGCCTTGCCGAGTATTTGATACATCTTGTGGGCTGATGGGGCATGACTTTGTTAGTTGTCACGACCAGAAAAGCATGCCCCATAATGGCTGCAAGTCTCACCGCAATCGAACACCTGATTGCATCTTTGTAAATTGCAAAGGTACCTTCAAAAGGTGTTCCAAATGAACAACCTGAAACTCCGTCGAAGGCCAAACTACCCTAAACCCTACGCCTCTGTACCCCATAACTCCCTAAACCCTAATCCCGAAACTCTAAACTTAAATCATTAAACCCCCTGAATCCCTAAATCTTATAACTTCAGGAGTCGTGTCTGAGCTTCAGGTCCAAGTCTCACCTCAAGACCGATGACATCCCAAACCCTGGAACCCTGAACCGCAGAATCCTAGAGCCTGAAAGCCCCGATAGTTTAGGGTTTAGGGTTTACGGTTTTAGGGTTTGAGGGTTTTGCGTTTATGGTCTTACCCTCAGGGTTCAAGTACTCCCTATTATAAGACTTTGGGTCGATTTTGGGTACGAAAAACCATAAATAGGGACTACTTGGACCCTTTTGGGTTTAGGGTTTAGGGTTTAGGGTGTAGGGTTTTAAGTTTAGGGTTTTAGGGTTTTGGTGTTGAGGGTTAGGGGGTCCTGAGTCCCCAACTCTTACACCCCTAAACAACGCTAAGCCCAAGAATCTTAGGCCCCGAAGCCTCGAACTTGAGCCCACAATCCTTAGACTACCCATAGGCCCCAAAGTAGTTCCTTTTTGGGATTACCTAATAGGATTCTAGATATTAAGCCCAAAGAGGAACTACTTTAGGGCCTTAGGGTAGAACTATTAAAGGGCCAAAGTCCCTCAACTCTAAACCCTAAGCCGAGATCCTCAAACCGTAAGCCCAGACGCCCCAAACCCTATAGACCCTAAACCCACTGAAAGCTTTTGCCACGGCGCCCGCCCTCGAAGAGGAGTCGGAGCGCTGCGTTGTTCTTTGTCAGCAGCATGAGATGCCTCAACGACGCTCGGGGCTTCGAACACAGGTTTAGGGTTTAGGGTTTGGGGTTTAGGGTTTAGGGTTTAGGGTTTGGGGCTTAGGGTTTAGGGTTTGGGGTTTAGGGTTGAGGGTTTAGGGTTTGGGGTTTAGGGTTTATGGATTAGGGTTTAGGGTTTGGGGTTTAGGGTTTATGGATTAGGGTTTAGGGTTTGGGGTTTCGGGTGGCTTCTGGCAGGATGCTTACCCAAAGGGTCTTATGTACCGAAATAGTAGAACCTAGGGTTTCCATAGTAAGAGCTACGATTATGACTTAGGGAAGTATCCCCAATAACAGTACATAGGACCCCTTGGGCTATATAAAGGGTTCCACAAAGTTACTGTAAGGATCCTACAGGGTTCTTAAAAGGGTTCTATAAGGGCTCTATGAGTCTATGAGGGTACCATAACTATATGGGTTCTTATAAATTCTTGCATCTTCTTGTAAGGGCTCTAAACCTTAAAGCCCAAACCCTTAACCCTAAACTCCAAAACCTATTGTAGATCCCTTAAATGCACCCCTTAAAGGAGCCCTACCATAGATCCCTTGAAGGAACCCCAAAGCCCTAAAAGAGTACTGTACTGCAAGTGAAGTTAAGGCCTCAGGAGCTTTCGAAAGGCGTCGGGGTTTTAGGGGGTTTAGGGGTTTAGGGTTCTACCCTTAGCTAGGTGGGGCTTCTAAAGCCTTTGAAAAATATTAGTGAATAAGATCCTCTTAAGCCCAATAAGGGGAAATATAAAATGTCCCAAAGCCCTACCTAGTTAGGGTTAGGGATTAGGGTCTAGGGTTTAGGGCGTTTGGGGCTCAGAGCTGGACCTCACCCCAAAACGAATAACTAAGAAAAAAACTGGAATTTGTAACCCTAAGCCTAAAGCCTTAACCCTAAACCGAACCCTAAGCCCTAGCCTTAACCCTAAACCGAACCCTAAGCCCTAGCCTTGACCCTAAACCGAACCCTAAGCCCTAGCCTTAACCCTAAACCGAACCCTAAGCCCTAAAGCCTGCGGGTTTCACCCAAGTCTTGTTCCCAGGCATCTGGAACTCCGACTTCTGGCAGTGTGGAGGATCAAACAAAGGCGCGTCCCTTGCGCAGGCCGGTAGTCGTAGAGCCTTCGTGCCTCTCGTGTTACGGCCATAAGCACGGACGATAACCTTGTGATCACTCGTGCTAGAGCTTATCGCGGCTACCAATCCAGCTACCCGCTCGCACGGTAGCGGAGCCTTCTCTTTCGAGAGGAGGTTCCTGAGACGATCCAGGGAACAGCTTTGTGGCTCAGTCCGAGGGTGAGGACTGAGAAAGATGAGCGGGGAAAGTGAAAAGGATGCTGCGTTGAGCCGCACGAAGGATGGCGTCCCGGTGTGGAACGGAGAAGCGGGGAGCTTCTCAGCCTATGAGGAAGCAGCAATGCTTTGGGAATCTGGCATTGAGTACCGGAAGCGCTACACCGCAGCCCCTCGGCTGATGGCGGAATTGACTGGAGCAGCCAAGCGACTCGTCGCGGGAAAACCCGCAGAGGAAGTGGCGTGTGCAGGAGGTGTCCGCCATGTTCTTGACTACTTGCGGAAGTCGCTGGGGAAGCCGAAGGTCAATGAAGTCACCGACCTCCTCGGGAAGTACTTCAAAGGGACCCGTCGCAGGACGGGCGAATCGATGAATGATTACGTGACGCGGAAAAGTGAAGCCTTTCTTCGGGTTAGCCAGGCCCTCCGACGAGTGCAGCCGCACTACAGGAAGACCAAGATGGAAACTTCCGGCGGGAACAACCACATGACTCCTTACCGATGGAGCCGCCGATCGAGTGACGCCAGTGGCTTTTGGGGATCTGGAGGCTGGGGCCGCCAGACTACCACCACGGAGGAGGGTGACGATCACACCGGAGAAGGCCGCGCTGATGATGAAGTACCTGAGGAAGAAGATTCCGGGACTACGACATCGTGGGGTTGGGGTTCTACCTACGGAAGTTCCTGGGGTTCTCAGTGGCAGGGCCCTGACTGGTATGGTTCCTCATGGTATCAAGGAACATGGCCCTCTTACGGATGGTCCTCGACGAGCGCCTCGGAGGGCACCTCCACATGGGAATCCATCGACCAGTTGGAGGACAACTCCTTGCTTCCGGGGTTCATCCAGGGATGGTACCTCTTGATGGACGCGGCGCTCGACAGCAACGAGCGCAACCTGGTGATGACTGCGCTGAGGGGCGATTTCTCCCCGGCGCGTGTGGCACAGGAGCTACGAAACCAGTTTCCTGAAGGTGAGCTTCGAAAGCGGGACACCAGTCGCCGCTCACATGCTTTCGTCAGTCTTGCCGAGGAGGAGCCGAACTATGATGAAGACTATGAGTGGGGTGACGAAGCCTACGGAGGTTGGGATGACTGCCCAGAAGAGGCGGCCTTGATCGTGGAGGCGGAGTCGGAGGCCCAGGAGGCCTTTGCTGCGTACCAACAGGCACGCCGCACCCTCAAGGACGCGAGAATGAGGCAGCATTCCAACAAGATGAATCGGCAATACTACAGAGGATCCTCTTCGGCCTCCTCCGGAACCTCCCGTCCCTCTTCGACGTTTGGGCAACGAGCTTCGGGAGATGAACACATGAAGTGCCTACGCTGTGGGCGCAAAGGCCACCGCGCGGCTAACTGCCCCGAGAAGCCCCTGGCAGCTCAGGCCACGGTGGAACCTACTTCGACCACAGCTACGGAACAGGTCTCTTTTGTGTTCTTCGCGGAGTCCGAGCAGCCCAGCGAGAGCGCCTTGGCAGCGCTTCCCACGACGGCCCAAGCCGTCGATGCCGGAATGGCTGTGGTGGACGGAGGCGCCACGAAGACGATCGGCAGTGTGGCGGCGATCGAAGCATTGCTAAAGAAGAATGTGCAGAAGTACGGCGAGACTCGCCTGCGAGCATTGGATACAGAGGACCAGCCGGTGTTTGGATTTGGCAATTCGACAGAAAATCGTTGCCTGAGCACCTGTCAAGTGGGTGTCACGGCGAGTGGACTCCCCGGCAGCATGCAGATCCATTCATTGGAATCCGGAAATGGTCCGATTCTCCTGAGTGTGGATGCGCTCAGGTCCCTGGGAGCTGTGGTGGACTTTGAGCACGACCTGATGGTGCTGACTAAGTTGGACCGGACCAAGATCATCCCCCTCCACCGCTCCGCGACGGGACATCAGCTTCTTTCCCTCACGGAGGACTTGTTCAGCAATGCTCTCGTTTCGGCGATCCCCGTACCTGACTTGAAGCACTACGTTTCACACTAGGGACAACTCCTCCCCCAATCTTTGCCTGAGGAAAAAGGGGAGGTACAGCAGAGTAGATCAGGCCAGGGTAGAAGTGAGACTTCAAGACAACTGTGTGAGTATCAATGTCATAGTTCTTTTTCCACACTTGAAGCTGCGTGCGAGCCTACAGTCGATGTGGAGTCTGACTTGCAAGGGTTGCTGCCGGAGCACACCTCTCGCGTACCTGTACATGCCGGACCTGATTGCAGCATTCCCGGCTCAGGTGCTCTTGTTTGTACGGCCCAGCGTGTACCTCCCGAGGCACATCATGGACCGTTTGACTCGCGGCGAGCTGACCTTGCATCTTCGCTCTTTGGGCGAGACGGCTCCAGAGGGGTGGACTCGAATGGAGATCCGCCAGCGCATCACGGAGATTGCGGAGGCGAACCCTTCGCTGGCAGCAACACCGTCTTCCAAGACGGACCTCGAGGCTATGATGGTGAAGCTCAACCGTGTGAGCCGAAAGAAAAGCGAGCTCCAGAAGTTCTGTCTGGACGAGCTTCGCATCAAGTACAACGACAACAACACCATCGCTCAACTCCAGAAGAAGGCGACGGCGGTGATCCTCGACATCACGGAGCCGCAAGCGGGCGACTTTCTGGGGTTTGGGAAGTACTCCGACAAGACGTACTCGGAAGTGTACCATCTCGACAGCCAGTATTGCCAATGGGTCAGCACGACAGCGCGCGAGGGCGACTGTTGCGCCCGCCTGGCCCGCTTCGACAAGTGGCTGTTGAAGACTCGGCAAGCGGATGCTCCGGCGGTCCCGTTGGTGCACCGCCCCAAAGCCAAGAGCGGAAAGAATGTTCCGAAGATCTCCACCCCCGAGGACATCGGCGGGTACACTTCTGTGGCGACTACGTCGGCACAGGGAAGCACGCCTCTTGCTGCCGATCCACGGGATGCTCTCATGTTGCAGATGGCCGACACCCTCAAGAATCTCCAAGAGGAGGTGTCGCAGATGCGTGCCGAGCGACCTCGCAAAGTGACCTCGGCCCCGAAGGAGTGAAGAACATGGGAGCTCCAGACGAAGACGAACCAGATGCTGGCGATGGAGGTCAGTGTCAGATGTCTTCGGTGGCGGCCGCAGCCCTAGAATATAGAGCAAACCGCGTGTTGCCTCAAGCATTTCATGAATTGGTTGGCCAGGACCGGCCTCTCTTGATGGAAGTAGCATGTTCGTCTGATAGTGTTTTGTGTCGGACAGTGAGAGAAAAGACCGGAAAAGAACAGTCTGCGATGAGGTGTTCCATTTGGAATGGGGCTGATTTGACACAGGCCGCAGGGCTGCAGCTCGCGCTGGAGCAGATCCGTGGTCTGAATCCGAAAAATGTGTGGATTTCACCGCCAGGAGAGCCCTACTCCCCCATGCAGCATGCCAACCAACGCACGCCCCAGCAACAGAGAGAGCTGAGAGAGAAGCGAGAGGAGGCGATCAAGATTTATCATGCGGCCAGAGAGATCATGAGGGCTTGCGTGCACATGGGTATTCACTGCACCATTGAACTGAACGAACGGTGTGAAGCTTGGCGATTACCTGTCTTCCAGGAGCTGCAACATGAGATGAACTTGCATGTTTCAGTGGTGAAGGGTTGTAGCGTTGGTTTGAAGGACTCGCGAGGCCAATTGATTCAGAAGGGATGGCGTTTGGTAACTACACATGCCCGTCTTGCGACCATGATGAAGAAACCTTGTCGCTGCCCGACCTCGTACCAACATGGAAGGTGTGAAGGAGTGATTGCGAGGAATTTGGATCGTTACACTCCGGAGTTTGCTCGTCTTGTGTGCCAGGCTTTGCAGGAAGAGTTTAGCTTCTACGGTGTTGTGCAAGAGTGTCAGGGAAATAACAGTGTTTCGGAGGATTTCGGACGAGGTGAGGTGTGTGCTTGTGGGGATGCGTTCTTGGGTAAACATGAGATGCAGTGCGGTAACTGTTTGTTGAATAGAGATGCGGTTCCTTTCTTCAACAGTGCCCCCGTGAGTAATCTAGGAACGTCGGATGTTGTCCTCGAAGCCCATCTTACCCAAGCTCAAGAAAAGCCTAGTGAACTGGCGGCCCGTCAACTCCGAAAACACGACAACATTTCCTACAAGCAGATGGAAGCATACTTGCAGGAGCATGCTAGTTGTGGTAGAGTTTCACGAAGAGACATGATACAACGTGAACAGGGAACCTACTACACCTATGGTACGTATGCTTATGGAAGTCACTACGGTCTGACCTTGCGAACCCAACAACGTCCTGAGTTTGTTCGTATGATCAATCGTTTCATTCAACAACACTTTCCCAAAGACTTTAAGTGGTCCGCCTTCGCGCTGAACATCAATTCAGCGGCCCCGATGCACAAGGACATCAACAACCACCCGAATTACCCAAACTGCAGTGTTGGATTGGGAGACTATACGGGCGGAGAATTGTGGGTTGAGGGCGAGGATTCCGGGAAAGGTCAGGTTGAGGTGAGGTGTCGTGATACTGGTGAACAGTTGCAAGGTGTGCGGATGGATTTCAGACATTGTCCGTTCCTTTTTCCTCCGCATAGGTGGCACCAGACTTGTGACTGGCAGGGTCAGAGATGGGTTCTTACGGCGTATGTCAGTAGAGGGATGCAGGAGCTTTCGGAAGAGGATTGGGGTCGATTGAAGGATTTGGGCTTTCCTGTTTCGACCTTCAAGAAGGAAGTGTGTGCTAGTGTTTTTCCAGGTTCGACTCAGCAGGAAGCGATGGCAGCTCAACCCGAATCCAGTAGCTCTTCTCGTGAGACTCTTACCCCGAAGCAACGACGAACGGATTAGGAAGCAGTTGTATTTGTTACACTGTGCGTCGGGTCATTGTAGCATGCACCATCTCGTCGACGCCCTGAAACGAAGGAGGGCACCCGAAAGAACCATCGAGCTCGCCAAGGAGTTCTCATGTCCTGTTTGTCAAGAACGAAGTAAGCCCCCTCCGAGAGCCCAAGCCACGTTAGAACCTTTGCCCCCAAAGTTCTGTACGATCAGTGCGGATGTCGGTCACTGGGAACACCCTCACAATAAAGAGCCAGTGCAGTTCATGTTGATCATTGATGAGGGCTCAAGATACCGAGTGGCGCGAGTTTTGTCCCGAGGCTCGAAACAGCAACCCACGGCCAATGCTTGCATTCAGTACCTACAGGAAGGATGGCACCAGTACTTTGGCCACCCTCGAGCCCTCCGAGTTGACGCAGCTGGTGCGTTCAGGAGCTTTGCTTTGATTGATCAGTACTGTGATAAGCATGGCGTGTAGCTAGACATCATTCCGGGAGAAGCCCATTGGAAGAATGGGGTCTGTGAGCAGGCAATCCAGGGAGTGAAAGAAGTGATGACACGACTCTGCCAATACGATGCAGAACTGACGACGGAAGCGGCCCTTGCAGAAGCCGTGAGGGTGTTCAATCATCGAGACATGATTCGTGGATTCTCGCCGGCCCAACATGTTATTGGGCGCGGGACCGACGATACCGATCGCTTTGTGGAGGCTGGTGAAGGCCTCCCACCGGGGCTTCTGGTGGAGCATCCAACGGGCGAGTTTGCGCGAGCCGCTCAGCGCCGAGCTGAGGCCGAGAAACTGCACGCTGACTGGAATGCCAATCAAAGGATCAAGCGGGCTCAGAATTCCAGGCATAGACCATGCTACAACTATCTTCCGGGGGAGCTGGTGTTCTTCTGGAGAAGTCAAGAGTCGGGGCGTGGCCGCCGACAACCAGGAACACGCCAAGGAAGGTTTTTGGGACCCGCTCGTATACTGGCTACTGAAACGAGGAAATCTACGAATGGCGAGCTCGCTCCTGGAGGTGCGGTGTGGCTTGTGCGTGGTAGGGCCTTGATTAAGTGTGCTCCCGAACAACTCCGTCGAGCGACAGAGCGTGAAGAGATTCTGGAAGGTTTGTCAGCCCAGAATGGCCAAGCGACACCATGGACCTTCACCCAAGTGGCCTCGTCCATTGGCGGGAATCAGTTCCAGGATGCAACGAGTGACGTTCCAAACCTGGAAGAGTGGCGAGCGGCCCAAGATCCTACAGAGGCCGCGCAGCCGTCGCGCTTGAGAGTGCGAGGCAAACGTTCCGCCCAGCAACTGGCCGACACCGACCAGGTGGGAGACCTACAGATGGACGCCGATGAGAACGAGGAGGCGCCGATCCGACGCCCCCGACAAGATGGCTCGAGCCTACAAGCAGAGGCTCGAGGTGAGTGTTGGTGGACCACTGTTCCAGAGGATGCCTGGCCGACCCAGGAGAACGATCTCTGGAAAGATCCCTTGACCGCGGTACAAGTGGAGGTCCCTCTTCCCGATACGAATCGGGGTGTCCAGAAGCTGGTTCGGAACTTCGAAGGTTATTTTGTGGGCCACATGAAGCGAAAGGCAGTTGAGGTGTCCGAGCGGCGCTTGACTCCAGCAGAGCTACAGGAATTCCGAGCGGCAAAGCAAGTGGAAGTAAAGAATTTTCTGTCTGCAGATGCATTTCAAGCCCTGCCAGCACACCTGCAACCTTCCAAAGAACAAGCAGTCGGGATGAGATGGGTGCTTACGTGGAAGCTGAAGGATGATGGTACGAGAAAAGCAAAAGCTCGAGCTGTATTGCTCGGGTACCAAGACCCGTGCTATGAGCATCGAAGTACCACGGCACCTGTTATGACTCGACAGTCAAGACAGATGTTGCTACAAGTAGCAGCGTGGAAGCGCTGGCGAATCCGAAAAGGAGATGTCAGTGGCGCCTTTCTTCAGGGACGTGAATATCCCGACACCTTGTATTGCGTGCCGACTCCTGAGATCTGTGAGGCCATGGGAATTTCGGAAAACAGCGTGACACGCATCAAGCGAGCCTGCTACGGTCTAGTGGATGCGCCCTTGGAGTGGTACCGTACTGTCGATACCTTTCTCCGTAGCATCGGACTTGAACGATCTAGTTCTGACTCTTGTGTGTGGTGCTACCGCCGTGACGGAATCCTCAAGGGACTGATTTCAGGGCATGTCGATGATTTCATTTTTGGTGGTGATGAAGATGATGCAGGGTGGCGAGATGTCCTTGATCAAATCCAGAAACAATTCAAGTGGGGAGACTGGGAGGTGGATAAATTCACTCAGTGTGGCGTCCTCATTGAAACTACGGAACGAGGGTTCGAACTCTCCCAGCCCTCTTACCTGGAAGGACTAAGTGAGATCTCCGTGAATGCTACACGTCGAAAGGACAGATCAGCTGGAACGACAGATAGAGAGCGCACCCTCCTGAGAGCACTCTTGGGAGGATTGAGTTGGCATGCGCAACAAGTGGCGCCACACCTGAGCGCCGACGTAAGTCTGCTTCTTTCCGAGGTGGGACGCAGCACCGTCGACACTATCATCCGAGCAAACATGCTCTTGTCGCATACTAAGGCGAGGAAGGAGCACAAGCTGATCATTCACAAGCATGCTCCCGATGCAGAGCTGGTTCTTGTGGCCTGGGTCGACGCCGCAGCTCAAAGTCGAGTGGATGGTGGCAGCACTCAGGGAATCGTCATAGGCATCGCGCCACAAC